TGAAAATTAGTAGTTACATTCAAGGGTAACCTTGAAAGAGCATCAGCATTTGCATGTGCTTTTGTATTTTTATACTTTATTTTGTACTGGAAGCTTTGTAAGAAAAGTGCATAATGTTGCATTCTTGTTGTAGTCAGTGTTGATAAATGTTTGGCCGGGGAAAAAAATCTGTATAAGGGGTTGATTATCAACATACAATGTGAAAGGTCTACCATAAAGGTAATAATAAAATTTTTTTACACCAAAAATGATGGCATAAGCCTCCTTATCAATTTGTGCATATTTTTGTTGCACATTAGTCAATGTTTGCGAACTGAATTGTATTGGGCGCTCTGTTCCATCAGGATAAATGTGTGACAGCACGGCTCCGACTGCATATGGGCTAGCATCAGTTGCTAAAATCAGAGGAAGTTCAGGGTCGAAATGTGCTAGGACTCTGTCTGACATTATTTCTGTCTTAACTGCTTCAAAAGCGCTTTGACATCTCTTATCCCAATGAAACTTCACATTATCTTTAAGTAAATTGTATATTGGCTGTAACGTATTGCTGAGATTTTCAAGGAAACGTCCGTAATAGTTTACTAGCCCCACAAATGCTCGAACTTCAGACTTGTTAGATGGCACCTTGGCATCATGAATTGCCTCCATCTTGTTTTTACACTTATGAATGCCGTTTTTGTCAATTAAGTACCCGCAATATTCTATTTCTTTTGTGAGAAATTGACATTTTTCATAGTTTATTCTAATGTTGTACTTTGCCAGTCTGCTGAAGATGGCTTCTAGATGTTCGAAATGGGAATTGTCATCAACCCCTGTTACCTTGATATCGTCAATGAAAACTGAGACGCCCGGTATATCTTTTAGAATATTTTCTATTTCCCTCTGCCATATAGCAGGTGCACTGTCCACCCCATACATTAATCTCGTACTCTGGTATAATCCCTTTGGAGTACTCAAAGTAAGATATTTCCTATCTTCTGGACGTACTTCCATTTGAAGATATGCTTGTTGTAAATCTATTTTTGTAAATTTGTCTCCACCGGCCATTGAGGAAAACAACGTTTCTATAGTGGGTAGAGGGTACTCATCCACAATTAAATTTTTATTCAATGTACATTTGAAGTCACCACATATGCGCACATTGCCGTTGGCTTTAAGAACTGGGACTATTGGAGTTGCATATTCAGAACTTTCCACTTTTTCCAACACCCCTTCTTTCTCTAGAAAATCCAGTTCTTTTTCCACCTTGGGCAACAATGCATAGGGTACCTTGCGAGCCTTTATGAAAATGGGTTGTGAATCACTCTTGAGTTTGAGACTAGCTTGTAAACCTGTGATTTTGCCTAAATCTTTTTTTAAAATTGTATTGTACTTTTGTAAAAGGTCATCTAATCTACTTTGAGTGGTTAGATATGTAATTTCAGGAGTATTATTGAACCCTATACCTAACATTCTCATCCACTCCCTTCCTAAAAGTGGGTGTTTGTCAGTATTGACAATGTATAAATTCAATTTTTTTGTAATATTTTGGTACTTTACCTCTACCTCAATTAAACCAAGCACATCTAAAGGGTTCTTACTGTATGTGATAAGTTTTGTATCAGTCTCTTGTAATTGCAACGTAGGAAATAATTTTTGTGAATCAATGCAACTCATTATTGTAACTGCAGCACCAGAATCTAATTCAAATAAAACTCTTACCTCGTTTACCTCCAGAGTGAGTGTGAACTTCTCTCTCAGCTGTGGATGTTCTGTATGTATTGATAGAATTTCATCAACTTGAACTTCTTCCATTTGATGTGTAGATCTACTATCATTTTTATTTTTGAGGCATACCTTTCCCAAATGACCTTTCCGATTACATTTGGAACAAGTTAAATTTCGTTTATTACATTGGTGAGCCAAATGTTGTGGGGATCCACACCTAAAACAAAATGTATTATCAGTATTTTTGTGAGAATTCACTTGGCAGGAGAGTTGGCCTCTTTGCTTTTGCCCATGATTACTGGCCCATGAATTTGACTTTCGTTGTACACTATGAGCACCCACACTGTGTACACTAGTCCCCCCTGCTGGACGATGAAGTTGAGCAGCATCCCTTGCAGAGGTTTCCATGCCAACTGCAATATTCAATGCATTCTCTATTGTCAAATCCTTCTGCTCCAGTAGTCTGCTTTGAATATTTTGTGCTCGGAGACCAAACACAAACTGATTTCTTAGTGCTTTCTTCAAATATTCTCCAAATTTGCATGTTGTAGCAAGGCCCTGTAAGGCTGTGAGATATTCTTTGGCACTCTCACCTTCATGCTGCCTTCGTTGTAAAAATCTGTAGATTTCCGCTATTTCTAGTGGTTCTGGATTATAGTGCAACTTCATAGTGTTCACTAATTCTGCATACGTCTTGACACCTGGCTCATCTGGTGAAATTTTGTCACACAGGACATCATAGGCTTCGGGGCCCATGTAATGTAATAGATATGCTGCCTTCTTGTCGTCTGGTACAGCGAAAACATCGAAAGCACTTTCCAGGCGCATGAGCCACCTGTCGAACCTTTTTGAGGTGTCGAAATTTTCGATTGAAAATACTGTATAGACTGAATGATTGACTTCAGTCATGTTTCTTGCCGGTTTGGGTGTACTGTATTCCCAAAGCTGCAACTGTATGTAGCACGAACACGTGCCGTACGTAACCTCTCACTCCGTTTTTCGTATTCACTCTTGAACTTCGGCCGATTGTAACGCAGATTCGTCTGCCTCGTCGCCAACTGTTGTGTATGTACCCTTATGTATGTCTTGACGGTGGAGAGAAATAAATTGCTCGAGAATGATTAACTGGCATTTTATTTACCGAACAGTGTATGTCATCTGTATGTGAGATGAATCAATGAATGAATGAATATAAATGTGCATAATTCCAATACCCCTTCCTATTTCGTCACTTGACAACAATGACAACATTGACAACAATGAAAGTCCAGACTACCAACATAAATACTTTCGCGGTTATAAGGTAGCATTCAAATATACAATAATATATCATTGTGTTGGTTTTTTCTAGACCAGGTTCCAGCAGAAAGATGTCTTGGGTGGTAGGAGTTAGAGCAATCAAAAGAACAACGAGGTGTCCACATCTACAGATTTCGAAAAAAATATGGGAAACATGGTTTTCAATTCAATAAAGAAAAGGGTTTATGGTTTGTCATGCTCTTAGGGACCACCCTGTACAATTTCTGATGGTCCGTGGAAATGCCTCATCGGGGCATTGAAATTTCGTTTTTTTTTTTCGGGAAAAATAACGTAGGCCTCTTCGATAGATAACCAATATCCTTTTCACAAATAGAGAGAAACTCAAAGTCATTATAATGATGGATATCCTATTGACATACATGATGGATATTCTATGGACATACATGATGGATAACCTATGGAAATACATGATGGATATTCTATGGACATACATGATGGATATCCTATGGACATACAAAACGGTGGCCAAAGTACGTCCATTGGACATCCATACGATATCCATAGGATGTCCGTGTGTTGTATGGGTACCACAATAGTTTATAAATTGAACGAAAATGGTAGATGACGAGTTGAAAACAACTACTTTCCTGGCAATATGCCACGCAGAACATTGGATTACATCCTTCCGAAGTCTATGCAATAATTCGTATAGACGAATAAAATCGAAAGGGTTTCCTTCCTAAACGCCGAGCTGCGTCTAATTGGTTCAGGAACGCGTGACTACCTGCATACCGGTTTCGAGCTGTTGGCTCTCATCAGTACAGGGCTGTCCCATATAGCTTCTCGACCGCTATCTGGTGCGAACCTGACATATAAAAAACGCATCATTATGTGGCATATAGCCAGGAAAGTATTCGTTTTTCACTCGTCATCTACCATTTTCGTTCATTTTATGAACTATTTTGGTAATGACTTTGAGTTTCTCTCTATTTGTGACCATTGCATTCCACTTTGAGTATTTGGCTTCTTCCTAGTTGTCAATATCCTTCTACAATTTTTTTGAAGGAATTTTTCTCTGAAACGAATTATTGTTTGGGCAATAGGACAAGCGATGGGGAGTTTTATCTGCAAAAGGTCGGAAAGAAACGAAATTTTGTGGGATGGAAGAGATATGCCATGTTTTTTAAGTCAACATATGCCCGAAATGATATACATCTTCGTATATAAATAATGAACTTTGGCGTGCCTTAGAGCATATTTCATTTGAAATTTGTTTCAATAGCACCTACACTTTTGTACTCATTGATCAATATTGATAGATTCAGTTGAGTGAATGCTGAAGTCTCCCATGATTGTGATATTCCCATTGTAATTCATTCTCATAAGTGTTAAGTATCCCTTCAAGATTATTCATGAATGTTTGAAAGTCCCCTTTACAAGATCAATATAGGGCAATTATTATATATGTTTGCTGGAAATAAGTTCAATTCCACAGTATTCAGAATCAAGCACTGAATTTGACCGGATTATTGGTGTGTGTAGCCTAAACTTTCTTTTACTAATAAGCAAACACCTCCATGTATTCTCATGTTTCTACAGTAATTTGCAGCTAAAGTATAACCATTTATGTGAATGTTTTTGTTTCTTCAGGCTGCCTATGTTCGACATACCTAGGATATCAAAGTTGAACTTGTTTAAGAAGCATTGTTCAATTTTATTTGATAGGCATTGGGTCTTACTCACTACATTATTCCTGCCAATATGTTTTTCTATATGAGCAATTGTATTCTAGTAAGAGTCAGGGGTAGTTTGATATCCTACAAAAGAGTCAGGGGTAGTTTGATCTCCTTCAACAGTAGATGGATCGTCAGAACAATCATCAACGTTAGTAATTCCTTGGTTGGACTGCCCTTCTAAAAATGTATCTTGACACTTCTATGCATTTAGGTCAGGTCGTTGTGTCCAGTATGTTGTCTCATTTAGCAATAATGAACATTATAATAAGTTACATGGGCAAAAAAAAGATAAAACATACAGCATAATATGGTTATATTAGATCTATATACATAATTTAATGTCATAAATAAGTAAATCAAAATATCATTATAACTGTACAAGAGATAATACAATCTACAAAGTCTTCTTATAATAATGTAAAAAAATCACAAAAATGCTCTGACCACATGGCATATACCAGATGGGCACTAAGAAGTGACACTTTCTTGTTTCATAGATATTTCTGTCATGAACCATAGATCCTCTATTTTCAAAAGTCGGCAAAATGAAGTTGGATACAAATATTAGAAGCCAGCAAATCTAAATACTGGCCCATGTCACAAATGATGATAAGGTCAAAATGAAGAATGTTGTCAGATATCAAAATTAACTCTAGAGGTGACTGATGGTGGAGATATATTCAGTGCTTTATTTTCCCTAATATCAATCTTCTTTAAACAAACAATGACATTTGATATTTTCAATTTTATGGATCAAGACATGCCGACTGGATTTGAAATAGATCATACTATGACTCAAATAATTACCTAGGATATCTATTATTTGTATTAATTCTTTGACAAAACAAAGAAGTGCAAGTTCTCAGTTTCCGCCTTTGAAAATGAGTAATATAATACTATAAGATCAATAGCATATTTTACAAGGCTATGAGATTATGATAGGTACATTATGTATTTTGGCAGTTGATATCTGCAGTTTTCTGATTTGGTAATTCAATGTATATTGGCCGGTTGTTGGTGGAAATGAATCTGTTTTCTTCAACTGCTTTTTGAGAGTTGATATTGTTCATCTGAAAAACAAATCCACAATTATTTTTATTTGGTCCATTTGATAATATTGAAATAAATTATCCTCAGAATATATAGGGCGATTCAACAAAATGACAGCAGTTGATGGAGTACTCAAATCACTTTGTTTTCGCAATACAGGGCGTTCAATCTGAAAGAAAGAATTGATTTACCTTTAATTCCTAGAAAACAACTCAACAAAGATATGGGATATCATGGTGATATAAGTATCTATGAGCACTAACATTCCTGCCAATGGCGTTGCGTTAGGTCAATATTCTAATGTTTATTTATAACCTATCGAACAGGGATTGATGGAAAACGTTCAGAGTTAATAAAATCAGAGAATTTACAATTCAATAGGACGAATCATTTCTGAGTGAAAACGGAAAACCAAATTAGACTACACATTTTGGTATAGGTGTCGAAAAATGAACGGGTAAAGGTTAAGGTCCTGAAATTAAGTGGATTTGTCGTTCATATATCAACAAGCAAACTCTTCTTATTTCGAGATCTCTTAATATACAGTGTGTCTCCGGATAAATGAAGCGACTTGTAAACGGTGACAAATTCTCGATTCAAATTTTCGTTTTTGTGGTTATGTGCTTGTATGGAAACTATAATTTCTAGCATGATTTCAGGTCGAGAATTTCGAAGCACCAATCTTGATGTAGTAACTCCAACCAATAATATCAAGAAAAGTTTGGAATTTCAATTTCCTCAACTGACTATAATTTTCTGAAATAGAGCTTTTTTGTTAGATTTATTCAGAAGAATAATTTTTCATCAGAATCGAAATTTGTGTCTCAAAATTTCAAAATCTTTGGCAATTATTTATGATGAAAAAATAAAAAAGAATCAACCATACTCCCTTTCCTCCCTAGGTACGCATGATGTTCTTAGAACATCATAGGAACTTCCTTTCGTGCGCTCCTAGAGATAATAAAGATGAAACAAGTTTTACAAAGAATTTATGGACTTGGAGCTAAGAAATAAGAATAAGTAAATCCAGGAAATATATGAATAATATCCATGGAGAAGGTAATTAATCTAAGATTATTCAGATATGATATACTTTATATTTTATGCAGTCATACTTACTTTTCTTCTATATAATAATACCAACAAGGTCAGAATGCAGATAACAAATGCAGAAGCAGCTGCTATCACAATCAGTGCTGTATGATACGGGGCTACTATCGAAACAGGGGATTGAGACACAATCTCCCTTTGTTCAAGTGCTAATGTTTTATCCGAGTGACTTGAATCCTGGAGGAGAAGTTTGTGAATCACTCTAGAACGGGTTATATCGGCTGTGAGACCTGGTAAATTCTGCTGCATAACCTACAAAGTTTGAGATTTAATTTGTAACTCATTTTTATTTATTTGATTATAACAGCGAAGCAAATATAACACCATTTGCATTTTTTATTCAACGTCAAAGATAGTTTCTATTCTTTCCTGACTGATATCAAACACTGATGAATATCATATGAAAGAAAACCTTCTTTTCAACCTTTGAACATACAGGGTGTCTGTAAAAGGTTGGGGCATTGCTCGGCTGTGGACTCCTGGGATAAAAACAAGTTGATTTAGGCCAACTTACCTATATCCAAAATCGTCTCGTTGAGTTGGTACAAGGCGTTGAAGTTTTTTTGGAAAAAAATAATTTTGCTCATTAAAAGAGTAGGCTGAGATCGATTTTCATAATTTTTGTGATGGCATGTTCTGTGACTAAGTCACGTTTTGAGATGTTTTTTATCATCATCAGTGACCTGCAAGTGTTTCAAACAACCCCATGTTGCCGTACAAATTTGGTGATAACTTTTCAGAGGTCGGACTGGGAACTTCCAGTTTTCTCCCAGAAAGATATTCCCTTCAGACATATTTTTTGTATCGTGTTAATTTTTGATGAGTCGAGGTTCATTTGCAAATAAATAATTTCTGATGTGATGCATCCTGCGCATTTTTGAAAAAAGTAATCTAATTAGTCGGACTGTTTATTGATCATGGCCACAATGTATTCTTGTTGAAAACAATGAAAACAAACTGATATGTTGCTGGTCCTCGCGGGCTTTACAAGAACTCTCGCGTTACAAATTTAGCGATAACTATTCAGTACCTAAGGTGAGCACTTTAACGCCTTGTACCAACTCAACGGAATGATTTTGGATATAGGTAAGTTGGTTAAAATCAACTTATTTATATTCCAGGAGTCTACAGTCAAGCCATGTCCCAACCAAATTATTTTTCTGAAAAATGCATAATAAGATGCCTAAGATCAGATGCAAATGAACCTCGAGAATTATCAAAAATTAACACGATACAAAAAATATTTCTGAAGGGAATATCTTTCTGGACAAAAAAAAACTGGAAGTTTCCAGTCTGACATCTATCTGAAAAGTTATCACCAAATTTGTACGGCAACATGGTTGTTTGGAACACTTGCAGGTCACTGTTGATGATCAAAAATATCTCGAATCGTGACTTACAGTCACATACCATGCCAAAAATTATGAAAATCGATCTCAGCCTATACTTACTTACTCTTTTTATGAGCAAAATTATTTTTTTTTTCAAAAAAACTTCAACGCCTTGTACCAACTCAACGAGATGATTTTGGATAAAGGTAAGATGTCCTAAATCAACTTGTTTTTATCCCAGGAGTCTACAGCCGAGTCATGTCCCAACCTTTTTCAGATACCCTGTATAGGTAAAAATTATGATCTCTGATGGCGATAAGATTTGATGCCGTCTTCCTTGAAAATTCGATTCAGGTGAACATATAAAATTCAATAGTGTTAGTATTAGCCAGTGAAGTAGTTGCTTTTTGTTGATATTTTAATAATTCGAACGCCAATATTGGTAATTAATTTTTGGTCTTTTTCATTTGCAGAGGTGTGAAAAAGTTTTAGTCTGCAATTAAGTTATTTTTGCAACTAGTGCAAAAAGTGTACATGCACATGTTGCACACTATGGTTTTTTACGATTGAGGAGTGTTAATGATTTTTGAAAGGAGATGTTGACCTATAAACTTTTCTGACATCTGAAATTTCAGTTTCGAGTAGTAAATTCAAGAAATGAATGTACTCACCATTTGTTCTAACTTGTAGGCAACATCAACTTTATTACTTCCTATCAGGGCAAATTTTATGTATAATGCGTCGGACGATGTTTCTGCTTTGATGCCATCACTGTTAATATTTCCCTTTAGACTGTTGACGATTTTGGTGATTTGATTGACCACTGGTACAGCAGATACATCGTCAAACTCCCCTCGAAAACCAAGTGTAACATCAGCTTTCTCTATTGGTGTTGTACCTGAAATTTTAACCAAATGCATATTGAGGTGAGGTGTGTTCATTCACTATTGAATGATCCATACGTCCGTAGAGATAATATACAGATCGAGTCTGAATATAATACCGGAAACTGTTCTGAAATATAGGTGTAAAAATAGTATAGTCTTTTTTTCTTCTATACTAGGAGCATCGTTGTCGAAGTCGTTAACCACTTCAAACTCTCAGGAATTATCTCTCAGCACGTCTGAATCCTGTCATTCATTTTTAGGATTTAATTTTTCCAAATTTGTAAAAACTGCGATGAATCATTATATTCTTTATCAAAAAAAGACGTATTGAATCATGGGTCTAATAAAGTGTCAAAAATAAGGTTTATAGAGTCTTCATCAAGCTTTTTAGTGAAGCAGATATATTTGAAAAAATTGGAAATTGCACAAAAATAGATTTTAAAAATTATTTATGGAAAAAAATATTTGTTTCCAACTGAACTTTTATATAAGGAATCTAAGAAAATGGATATAAATCAACTCTATATTTACAATTTACTGATTCATATTTTCAAAAATAAAAAGGACATTCAGTTCAAAAAACATATCTATGACATAAGAAATAAAAATAACATAACATTGAAATATAAAACAAACAAGTCATTTGGACGTAGAAATTTTAAATTTTTAATTCCTTACCTATATAATAAAATTCCAAATGATCTTATAAAAACAAAATCACTACAATTCTATACAATAAAAATAAAAAACTGGATATTAAACTCCCCTAAAAATTATTTTATTTCTTTAATTAACATTTAATAATATCATTAGATAAATTTTAATAATAATTGTGAATAAGTATGTATGAATATAAATAATTATGCGTATTGAATGAAATGCTCAGTACACTATACAGAGTGGGCCGTTGAAAACGAAACAGAGGCTCTGTAGGTCGCCAAAACCGGATTATAAAAAAAATCTGAAACACGTCAACTATATTTTCGAGGGGGACATCGTTCTAAAATATTTTCAGCCCTGCGGCGTTGCCGCTTCTAGAGAAAAGAAGCAACAACTTTGTTATTTCAAATGGAACACCATGTATTTTATTGCATTTTTAGATTCTCCCCGAAGAGCTGATTTCATCAATGCATCACACTTTGGGTCTAGCTGTAATGGTTTCAGGGATATAAAGTGTTCAAAATCGAGATTTTTCAACTTTACCATTTTTTTGTGTCGAAACTATTCATTATTGTTCGAAACGGCATTCATGTCCCTATCTCAACTTATGAATTACTATCTACTGACATTTATTTGAAACAAATACAGGGTGGTTCAAGATTCAGAATTCTGATCACCCTGTATCTGTTCCAATTAAATGTTAGTAGATGGTGAATCACAAGTTGAGATAGGGACATGAAAGCCATTTTGACCAATAATGAATAGTTTCGACACAAAAAAATGCTAAAGTTGAAAAATCTCGATTTTGAACACTTTATATCCCTGAAACCATCACAGCTAGACCCCAAGTGTGATGCATTGATGAAATCAGCTCTTCGGGGAGAATCTAAAAATGCAATAAAATACATGGTGTTCCATTTGAAATAACAAAGTTGTTGCTTCTTTTCTCTAGAAGCGGCAACGCCGCAGGGCTGAAAATATTTTAGAACGATGTCCCCCTCGAAAATATAGTTGACGTGTTTTAGATTTTTTTTATAATCCGGTTTTGGCGACCTACAGAGCCTCTGTTTCGTTTTCAACGGCCCACTCTGTATATTATGAATTGAATACTTGTCTCATTTCTTAATGAAACAATTTCCCCTTGTGATAATTTGATATTGTTAAATATTTATTGACCTATGTACATTTATTTATTTTTTATCCTTACTACAAGGTTAACTTCGTAAGGTTTTTCCCAGTTTATTCAAATTACCTATATGTTTATTCCAATGTATATTTTGTGAACGTTTTTGAATAAACTTATATTATTATTATTATTATTATTATCATTATTAACAGTATATAATTATTATAATTGACTTCTACCTCATTTATAGAGCTATAATTTCCAGGCAACAAAATTCTCATCAAAATGTCAAGTTAAATTATATACTTCGTCAAAAAAACTCTCGTGTGAAAAAGTTAAAAAACTATAGTCTCAAGCATTGACTATAACTTGTACCTAGGTACTTTATGTGAGACACAAGAACTATATAATGTAATTGTGTAATGAATATAACTTACTGCATAGTTTTTCTCCTTTCACAAAAGTATTCGTATTTGGAAGTTGATTTCCAGCCTCATCTACACACCAACATGTTTCTTCTTCACACTGTGTTGGTAAGAATTTCCCCTCCTGGTCGCACTGTCCCCCCAATGATTGACAACGACTTGTTGAGGGCACCTCCCAGTTCATCAAATAGTCATCAGTTTTTAGGTCTGCCGGCTCGTCTACGTCATCTATCGAGCCTAGTTGCATCATGAGTTCTTCTAAGACTAAAACAAAGAACGTGAAATCAATTTAAACAGTGCGTGCCTAAGTGTATGTGATTAACTATAATTAAGTGTCGAAATATTTTTCAGTAGGTTATGAAATTTTTCAGTAGATCAGTAGATCAATATGCAAATCAGGAGATCTGCTGAAAATTCAGTAGAACTAGCAACCCTGTAGCGGACGAAAAGTACTTGCCCTCGGAAATAGTCGGTTTTTCGTTCGGAAATTAGAACGCAAAATGTGATTTTTTGTAGAGGTCGACGAAAACGTATACTTTATTACAAAATGAATCAAAAAATTATGTGTTATATAATATGCTATGTTAAATTTCAGATTTTTGTACTTAATATTGCCATTATATTTAATGAGGGCTTTTTGTATCCATGAGGACCTGATGGGCTGCCCTTTCGTTGATCCGTCCCTATGCATATATATAAGCATTTATTATAAACATGAACAAGCCATTATAATCGAAGGCATTCATCCTAACTCTGCTGATAGATCAATCAGGATTGAAAGACAGCCAGTGTTCCTTCATATATGAAAGTAATGTCATCTCCTGCGAAATAAGAACCAATCAGAATGGTGTGTCTTGATATTGAAATAACCCGACTTCTCCGCTCTTTCGAGTTGATAAGACCACATATCGTCAGGGCAACTACGAATCTTGATAAAACAACATCTTGTCACCTGTTATGAAATGGAGATGACTGTTTCATGAAGGTCGTTGGGATTGTCTCAATAAATACAATTCGTGCCCACAATATATTATCGAAAATTCTGTCAGAAATATCATACTCGATCAACTTGCTTTGAGGTAACAAGCAATTGGATCTCGTTCCCAGATAACACCGATCTCTTTGAGAACTGACGGCCGATTATCGAAATGTAATGCCTTCCCGCCGTCGAGGTGTCCAGGTGGCCGCCAGCCGGCCGTAATACACATTACCGGCGATTGAATTATTGACTTATAGAAGTGCTACAGCGGCAACAAATTTCAATACACCATTGATGGGAGCGCTCAGCCACCAACGTATATGCACTTGCGAATCCTTATCAAGGAGGATGAGTTTTTCGAACCCTTTTCAAATATTTGACCGCGAACTACAAACTGTGCGCATTTAAAGTTTATAGTTCGCGGTCAGATACTTGGAAAGTGCTCGAAAAACACATCCTCCTTGATACGGATTTGCAAGCGCATATATACGGTGGTGGCTGAGCGCTCCCATCAAAGGTGCATTGAAATTTTTTGCTGTTGTAGCACTTCTGAGTCAATAATTTATAATCTATACATAGAAGTGAGTGATAATTTTTGTCGGTTTCTCGACCGAAAAGATACATATATAATAATGAAGATGATGGAAAGCCCTAATTCCGAGTGACAACGAAAAATGAAAAAACTCCACCGCCCCGCGTGAGAGTCGAACTCACAACTTCTGGGTTACATGCCCAACGCTCTGCCAATTGAGCTAACGGGTCATCCGTAGATCAATCGGCAGGAAGGTCGAGTTCTCATCACACACCAGGCGGCAGAATCATTCCAAATCCCAAAATCACTCGAAATCATGCACTATATGGAGCATCGCTGGCAGGATGGTACTATACAGTCTCCATTTTTCCCCGTTCGTCCTCTGGCATTGTCTTTCCTTGTATACGGAAATGTCCGCAAGCAATCATAGAAGTGGGTGATAATTTTTGTCGGTTACTCGATCGAAAAGATACATATAATAATGAAGATGATGGAAAGCCCTAATTCCGAGTGACAACGGAAAATGAAAAAACTCCACCGCCCCGCGTGAGAGTCGAACTCACAACCTCTGGGTTACATGCCCAACGCTCTGCCAACTGAGCTAATGAGACATCCGTCGATCAATCGGCAGGAAGATCGAGTTCTCATCACACACCAGGCGGCAGAATCATTCCAAATCCCAAAATCACTCGAAATCATGCACTATATGAAGCATCGCTGGCAGGATAGTACTATACAGTCTCCATTTTTCTCCGTTCGTCCTCTGGCATTGTCTTTCCTTGTATACGGAAATGTCCGCAAGCAATCTATACATACAAGTGAGTGATAATTTTTGTCGGTTAATCGACCGGAAAGATACATATAATAATGAAGATGATGGAAATCCCTAATTCCGAGTGACAACGGAAAATGAAAACACTCCACCGTCCCGCGTGAGAGTCGATAATTTTTGTTGGTGTGGCAGGATGGTACTATACAGTCTCCATTTTTACCTGTTCGTCCTCTGGCATTGGCTTTCCTTGTATACGGAAATGTCCGCAAGCAATCTATACATAGAAGTGAGTGATAATTTTTGTCGGTGTGTGATGAGAACTCGACCTTCCTGCCGATTGATCGACGTATGTCCCATTAGTTCAATTATCAGAGCGTTGGGCATGTAACCTAGAGGTTGTGAGTTCGACTCTCACGCGGGGCGGTGAAGTTTTTTAATTTTCCGTTGTCACTCGGAATCAGGGCTTTCCATCATCTTCATCATTATAATAATTTAATCGCCGGTAATGTGTATTACGGCCGGCTGGTGGCCGCCTGGACATCTCGACGCTGGTAAAGTACATAAACTGCCGGGAGAGGTGTGCGTTACACATGCCGGGCCGATGGTTGGTGTTATCTTTGTTGATTTCTGATAGAATAACTATTGATATAGTATGGCGAGCACTCATGGTGTATTACCCCTGATAATACACGACGTTGTCCCTGGTGTGTGATTGATCAAATTATATGAGAATTTTGAGACGAGTGTAATAGTCACCTAAATCTCCATCTGACACGGTATCGGACCTGTCGCTGGCCCAGTACCGCGCCTGCCTGAAGTTGCACTCGGGCTCGGCCCCTCTGGTTAGCGTGCCTTTGAGCGGCTCCCCTTGCGGAGTGACGCACCAGCAAACCCCCACGTGCTCCAGACACTGCACTGCTTGCCATGCCCCCGTGTTGGGTTCGCAGCGCGGCGTGAAGGTCGGTTTCTTGTAGCGTTCCGCTGCCTTTTGGTTCTTCTCTCTCAGACGTTCGCATTGGGACAGCACTGAAATAGTATATTTTTTAAGGAGAATGAAGTTTGTAGCATAAGCCATAGGCGAATGCTGCAATCATTCGATTAGGAAATTAGCATTCCGTGCAAGTTATGCACTATAATTTTTCTACGGCTGTAACAGATAATAGTGGTATTCTCGATTTCTTCGACTTGTAGCCATCTGATTTCATGTCAGGTAATGCTCATCTATCAGACAGCGCTTGACATTCCAAAAGTGATGAGATTTTTTTGAAATAATAACACAATATGGAGTCATTGTGATATCAGATACGGAAATAAAATTGATGACATACAAAGTACCTTATTGATGATGTATCGAACACAGTAAAACAAGAGCAATCTTGTGTTATAGCCGTAGAAAAATATATATTCTGCTCGAATTTGTTTATCTCAGAAAATACCTCCTGTGAGTAGGTAAGAACTATATGATCACCTGATCAGAAATATATCGTTAAAGGTTACACAGAGTATATTGCCTCGAACATCTTATTCATGCACCATAAAAGGCTATATTCCGAATTCAACTGACAGTACTGAATCTGCTGATTTTCCATTCCGAAATCAAAAAATTCACTGAAAGTGACAGATGCTTGTCAGCAGGCATACTATTCATTCCAAATATTTCGACTCAACATTCTGCTGGAATTGCTGAGTATCAAAAGGTAGTGTGGCTTCAGTGAACTGTCATATTTTAGAGGGGGAAGGAATGTAACATTCATTTTCGTTGTTAATGAAATGATTCTCAATATCAGAAAATACCTGGAGTATGAAGTAGTAGAGCAGGTAAGGAAAGGAGCAGCATTGGCTAAATAAACTTAAATAAACCTGGAATGTCTCCTAAAATTCATCATTATTAAGGCATATTGCGATTTTCATGAATCTCAATTCTCAATCTGGTGCATCATGAGAAATTTATGGCAACAAAATGTCCAAGTATTCGAGCTTGAATCGCCATCGTCAACAATCGTAGAAACTATAGTGGATACAAGAATCTATTTCTCTTCCATGTTAAATATTAAATTTCCAAAATTTATAACAAAAGTAGGAGGCTGAACATCTAGTTCAGATAAACGAGAAACAACTACTGATGAAAACCATGAAAACGTGTCCCGAATTACAGTAGTGAATTTTTGATTTTATATTTCGGAACATAGATTTTCAGCAGAGTCAGTGGATCAACTGACAGTACTGACCAGTTGAATTCGGAATATAGCCAAAGTGTGCATGGACATAGAGATGTATAGAAATTTTGGACATGCTTGTCAGATTCAAAACGTCAGTTCTGAGAAAATATTTTCGAATATGTCTCATTCTTCGATAACGAATTGCAAAAATTCTAAGAATGATGGTTTCCAGATAACATCGATCTACTTGAGAAATGACGTCCGACTATTGAAATATTAGACACTTCAAACGAGTGCTATAATAATAATAATAATAAAAAAAGTTTATTTGTAGTTCAATAAGATGATAGCGGAACAAGAGCAGGGGAAAAATTAAATAAAAAAAAAACGCATAATCTATCAAGAAACTAGCAGTACTCCATAAATTAGTGTTGAAACGTACTTTCACATTTATAGTTTGTAGTTCGCGGTCAGATACTTGGAAAGTGCTCGAAAAACTCATCCTCCATTATACGGATTTGCAAGCGCATATACGTTGGTGGCTTGAGCGCTCCCATGCATTTGGTTTCCCACTGGTGACAGAAGAATTGACGACCAATAAAACGATGTGATTCATTTTGGAAGTTGTGACATTCTGCTGATCATTTTTAGGTTATTTAACAACGATATAATTCCGGGATCTTGCTGTTCATCCGTACATAATTATAATTTATAATAGGATGATGTTCTTCCCGCTTTCTTATCGTTATTACAAGGAAAAATACATTGATATTTATATCTATGAAGTTGACCCCATAATACTTATATTTAGCTGTTCGAGTCTTTTGATGTTATCTACTGGAATAATTGACTAAATTATTTATGTTAATACTTTCATCAACATTATCATACCAAAAATTCAAATTATTATGAAGAAGTAATACCGCAAAATTTTCCAACATTCAAAAGTGATTTCAGTCCAGTAGTGTTTGAAAGTATCCGCCATTTCATACACTCCCTCCACAATCGTCTTCCTGTCGTTCCGTTTGGGAAGACGGAATGAAAAGTTGGAACCTGTTTCAGAATTTCGTTCAATAAAACTACAAGAATTGTCATTCCGGTGGAAGAATCTTGCCAATAAAACGCGTCTGATGGTGTATTGATATTTGTTGCCGCTGTAGCACTTCTAATGCTTGGTACGACAGATGACAGCTTTTCCCATTTGAGCTTATAGCGCTTCGGATTTTGATTGGTATCACAATTAATACAGCGTTAATAACAGATAATTCGTTTCAAGGCCAATAAGCGAAAAATGTTCAAACATTTAGAAGATTTTTTAGAAGTATAATCCTAAAACAGTGAATATGAACAGTTCGCGCTTCATTATTCATCTTGCCGCTGTAAGTTAATTATTCATTATACAAGGGAAAAAAGTTGTAGATTTCAGCTCCAGGCCGTCGTGGTCGAAAATTCGCGCGTTTTTTAAATACCTATATCCACTTATACTTCAATATATACCTACCTACTATCCAATGGGCAAAGGTACAGAGCATATAATAATATATATTTGTAGTTCGAACATTCGAATGATTTTCTTACCTGGGCATACAATATTACACATATTCTCCGTATGGAAGTTATTGTGGTTTCCTTGACATCCTTTGAAAATGAATTGTTCGCATTTGTTGGTGCGTGAGTTGAAGTGGTATCTCGTCAGATTTCTTGAGACTTCATCATCCTGGCATTTTCCTTTATCAAGTGGTTCAAAACAGACTTCCCCTGAAAAATTTCATGAAATTAATCTTGCATCGATTTCTTAATAGTGCTATACAGAATAAAGTTCATTCACTTCAGGCGGTAATTCTACAGATCAGATGAAAACATATAGGAAAAAATTTTGTTATCAACATGTGTCCAAAAATGCTTACTAAGGGCGCTACAGGCTACAGCCCTCTGAAGATAGGTTCTTAATCGCAGTTCTTCAATAGGTGAGTGGATTAATTTTTCCTTATTTCTTAAATAGAATAATCACTCGAATACCTTCCAATTTCATATTTTTTATGCATTTTTTGGTTGATTTTTAGGTGCTAAAATCATCAATAATGCCACAGTAATTTTCAAACGGTAAGAAATTTACCGACAGTAAAAATTGACGCCACGATTTCGTAAGTAGGGGCAGACCATAGCACATGTCTCAAAATGTTCCCTTTATGACTTGTGGCTTATTATTGCTTATAATAAAGAGTGAATAATGATCATATTAATTCACACAAAAGGACATTTGAATCGGTGAACGTAACATATCCACGGCGCACGACTTGTGGGCGTGGTCTTGTCAGTTCTCAGGATTCAGCACAATGTTGCCGAGTCTTCTACATTCACATTTATTTTGTTATGGAGAATAAGAAATATTTGGACATGTTGGTTGCATTTTTATAGAATCATTTACGAGTTTCGCATCTCCCTGTATAGGAAATCATGTTTCACATACTTACCACGAAACGATATGTGAGATCGAATTACGCCTAGGTACCAAAATTGATGATTCTAACAGCAATATAGTGATAGAGATAATTGAAAAAAACTGCATTCGAAGACTTATGTTCAAAAGGCTGTAGCACCCGTAGGAAGTGTTTTAGACACATATGTTGACAGGAAAATTTTTTCTCAATTCTATAATATAGTGTTCCCATTCCAAAGTCGAAACGAGGAAGATTGATGAGTAGGTATATGTTGTTTTACTTTTGTGACCTACACGCTGTATTCCATAATGTTGGCATATTTTACGCCCTAGACTTGGTAAATACTATGTTGATACTCACTTGGTTTGGGACAACAAACCGCGTATTCCCCTACGGGGCTCAGTTGGCACTTGTGCGACGATGGACAGCTTTCATAATCTGGTCCACAATTCACAAGTTCGTCGCTGTTGCCCAACCTCAGCGGTTCCCCGCTCTGACAAGGGTTTTCTTTCTTTGGCAAACACATCGGCACCGAAGGACAGGGCCAACCCACACATTCTACAGCAACCAATCTGCAAACAGTATTTTCATTTTCATAACATTGTTATGAAAGGGGACTCAACCAAAATCATTATATGTAACGAGAACTAAGATGTGTTAGGAATCTGAACAACGTTTCAAAATTAATCACTACAAATGCATTTTTGGAGATATACGCGCTCAAATGCAATTGAATTCTGAAAAATGAAAAAAAAAAGGTGAAAGAATTTCTGAAAAACATGGAAAACCTCTTCCTGCACTTTATTTCTAGTGATATCCCATGATACTTCGATAAAACAAAAATCAAAGGATTCTGGTAAATGGTAAAATTTCAGTATAACACGTTGAAATCAGTATGAATCGGCTCCAATGTGAGCTAGCAATCTGAATTGTTTCCGTTCTGACCGTAAAAGTTGATCAAGTTCAACATTTGTCACTTTTACTTCAATATGTGAAATGAATATAAGTCCAACTTATCGAAAAGGCCCACCCCTACATTGAAGTTATTTTCCCATTGAGAAATAAAAAAAAACAATATGCGGAAGGTGAAGGCCTTTCCACAGCCCTTATCGTAAGTTATAAAGGCTGATCCGTAAAAGCGTGACCAACCACAAATATTTTCTCTATTGGAACACTGCTTTTTATAATTTCTTCAGATTCTGAATTTTTGTGATCACAAAAATAAAAATTTACAGTGATTTCTTTCAATTTCACTTCTTAATTATCACTCTTTTGAGTCTAGAAAAACGAATTGTCTTATTAATTGGTGATCACTCGATCAGTTTGAGAATGTATTCGATAATGATGCAATATACAACTCAAATATATCCTCATCCATGGCTATAACACCATATCTGTAGAAACAGCAGACAACAATTGTTTTTCTGGGGTCAAAAAAATGGTAATAATAAAGTGAAAATAAAATATATATAATACTGTATATTCATATTTCTCTCACAACAAGAAATCAGATTCCCGAAAAAATGTCAAATACAGGGTGTTCCAATAAAAAAATGTGGTTTGTCACGCTTTCAGAGATCACCCTATGCAACTTTTGAAAATGGCTGTGAAAAGGCCTCATTGCGACATTTCACTTCCGCATATTGTGTTTTTTCCTCAATTAAAAAATACGGTGTAAATATGGGGGTGAGCCTTTTCGATGGATAACTCTGATGTACATTTCGAACTAAAAATTAACCCCGGGGAGATTGATGAGGCCTTGTAGATTAGTTATTCTCACCTGCACGTCTCGCCTTCCCCTCTGCACGATATCCTCGAACAAGGATCCTGACACCTGCACGTCCTGCAGCCATCCCCGTCCATCTCGAAGCCGTGCTCGCAGTCCTCCGCGCACTTGAGCAACGGACACCTGTCGGATCGCGCCGGCGAGTCGCACGACAGGACCGCGCGGCTGGCGCGAGAGTCGTACGACAGTTCCGCGCGGCTAGTGCGCGAGGCGGACAGCTCGAAACCACGCGAGTCGACGCACCAGCATTCGCCGGCACCGGGGTCGCATTGGACGGGATCGAAGGAGCCGTCGGCTCGGCATCTGGGCATGTAGACCTTGCCCACCGGGATGCCGGATTCGTGAGATTGATGTTGGGCCAGGGTTCTTTGGTGTTGGCAAGCTGCAATATGAGGAATGCCTTTCACGACCATGATAAGATGAATAGAAGAGCGGGCAGATGTGTTACAAAATTCATACCCGCTCACCAGACAACGTGTTGAGAGAGATTTGTTTATAATGGACGAAAGAGAGTTATCCAGAGAGTAAAAATCGACATATCACAATTTTATATTAGGTACGCGCCGGTATAATTGCGAAACTCGAAATGGCGTCTGCATTTTATTATTACCTCAGATACATGAACACTGAACAGTCCAGAGCAATAAATCCCAGATTACAAACAAAAATTGAATTTGCGAATGTGATGAATTTTAGAGCCCACATGATTATCCAGAGAGATTTGATCGAAAACCTGATCCAACATTTATTAATTTTTCTGCAATTCATGACAATATCAGGTTGGTGTTCGATCATTGAATTGATTATTCAATGATGAAAAGCAAGTTGAACCAACAAACTATTGGAAAATAATTATACACATTCAGGATATCTTATCAAGTTGATTCCTCTTCACTGATTAGGCATTGCAAGAAGCTCTGATAGGAGATGCATATCTGAAGAAAATTTCTGTAATAGCAGTCACAATAACGAAGGGTATCTATAACTGCGAATTCACGAAGAACTGGCATTCCAAGGTCTTTTTGGAACGCAGTAACATCAATAAAATATTCAAAGCTTCGTGTTATGACTTCACTTAAAGTTAGGTACTTTTTCATGTAATTGATTATTTTTCTTTACATTTTATTTCCGATGATGCATACCGTTTTTCTATTTTCAAATAAACATATTATTGTTTCTCGCGACCTTGCCTTAAACAGCTCGAAATGAGTGAACAATAACCTAATTTTTTGTATTCGGACCGAGCGATTGAAATTGCAAACACACCTGAAGGAACATCGAAAGATAGAATAGAATCAGTATTGTCTTTACTCCGCAGGTATATAGTTTGGTATATGCTCTTCATATTTTCGCTACGCCGGTTTCACGGGAAAGTTATGTAGAACGGTTTAATTCTCATTTTGGTGCCTTTCTAAACCAATTGTGAGTGTCTACAGATTTGGATTATCACGCGATTTTATGGATGTCCCGGAAGGGGCCCCCCATCATTACACTTCAACATCCAGAGATAACACTGCCGCCTACAGAGATCCTCAAGATTCAGGACTTTGGGTAAGCTGTTCAAGGATTCGATTTCATATTCATATATACTCATATTCATCTCAATTAACGCGCGCCTATGGTCAAAGTCTATTTTCCTCTCATTTCTGAGGTTTTCGAATTAAAATTCGCATACTTCAACCATTGTCGTCGTTCTAGATGACAACCTAGTTAGGTAGTTAGTAGGCAGAAGCTATAATAACCTCCTCGCACTAGGTCGCCTACTAGGTTTTCATTTAGATCGACAATGCTTCAACAATCTGGTGAATTTGCGATTATCCATCATCGGTAGAATCAAAGCTATACTGAGAAAAATTTTTTATTCAATTTCCAAGGTTCACATGCAAGCGTAAGTAAAGGTACTTCGCAGGTTTCCGTAAGCGAAACGACAACTACTGCTTCTTATATCATTATAGGATAGCTACCTCACTTTTATAAACCTAATAGATAAGTATGATCGCACTGAACCAACAAACGGACTGTCGGTTCTGTTGTGTAGAAGACGAAACGGCTGAACACATATTATGTTCATGCTCTAGCTCAGAAAGACTAAGGTTCGACTCATTTGGCTTTACCAATTTAGAACCTATCGATTTCAGACAAATCTCACCCAATTCAACCATGAACTTTGTAAAAAGATATGGATTGTACGGTGAACTGTAACCTCTAGGGGTGAGCCACAATAGACCCATCTGGGGTCGCAGTGGAGGGGAGGTGTTATTAGCGTCTGCGGACCAATAACGAATAGTTTCGACACAAAAAATCCAAAAGTTGAGAAATCTCGATTTTGTGAACACCCTACATCTCTGTAATCATTCCCGCTAGACCCCATCAAGTGTGATATATTGATGGGATCAGCTCACTAGAGCTTAGCCATAGCACCAGTGCGAGAATATTGCGCCTGGTGCGCAGGTCGCTGGGCGCGAGAAATTGCAGCGAAACAAAAATAAATAGGTAAGTCATTGTGAAATGATATTGCGTGTCGCTCGCTGCTCGCTGGGCGCGAGAAATTGCAGCGAAACAAAAACAAATAAGTCATTGTTGTGAAATGATACATTAGACAACTGCTTTCCTAGTTGATACCATGTTACAGGGTGATCCCTAGAATCGTGACACACCTCAAATCAATTTATTCAAATTGAATTAACACTGTACTGTTCATAATTATTACATATATATATATCCCCAGATAGCACGAATATTCTCAGAATATTCTTACAAGCTGCGAAAATGTCATCTTCTAGAATAATATTCTGAAGAATATGCATAGAAAGTTCTCAGTATGTTGCGAATATTTATGGAATGTTCCATGCGAATATTCTGATAGTATTACATGAAAGTACATTCCTAGAAGCTCCTGGGATATAATATTCCAGAATGTTCATTAAATAATATTTTCAGAATATTGTGAACATTCATGGAATACTTTGCGAATATACTAATGATATTCTGAAAATATGTTCCAATGAGCTTCTGAAATGGAATATTCTAGAATGACAATGTTAAAATATACTTATTTCAGAATATTCTAACATAATGTCCTTAAAATGATCATAAAATATTTTCATCCTGCAACGAATATTCTATGAACATTCAATTTGACATAGATACACAAGAATATTCTTTTCGAATATTCTGAGAATATACAGAATCGTATCAAATTATGAAATTGATGTTATTATTCATGTATTGATATACAAAGTGTTCCCCTTACCAAACCCATTATTATAATGGTTGTATGCCACTAAGTGTTGAGATCTTCCCATTCATATCATTCATTAAAAAGGTCTGTAGCTCAGTGGTTAAGGTGACAGGTAAATAACTATGTAGGTTCGCAAGCCCGCACCGGAGCAAGCTTTTTTAAATTTTATTACTATAAATATACCTACCAGTAACATTCTCAGAATATCTAGAACAGCCCTCTTTGTATATCCATAGACCGTTCCTAGAAAATATTCGTATAATATTCTGAGAAGGTACTTGTGTGTGCTATCTGGGTATATACATATATAATTATATAATTCCACAAAAATTCCCCCTTCCCTTGCAAAAATAATATCGCAGCGATCTTGAGTTCTGAGATTTTGAAAAGAACTGAATGTTTTCGAACATTCTGCACAACAGTTCGATTCGAGGTTCGATTGCATTTTTAACGTGTGAAACGCTAGACTTGCAGGTCAAACGATAAATGAGTACATATTCTGGAAACAGTTCGAATGGCAACCAACAAATCTCCTTCCCGTGATACATGATTCGCCGCCAATTAAGGGTATTGGGTATTCTTTTACCAATGATGATCTTTATTGTTTCGCTCCAATATTTGTCCCGCGCCGCACGGCCGCAACCCTTCTCGCGCTCGGCGAGCGAGCGAGCAAGCAACGAAATTTTCTGTTTCTCGCGCCCAGCGACCTGCGCACCAGGCGCAATATTCTCGCACTGGTGCTATGGCTAAGCTCTAGTGATCAGCTCTTCAGTTAGAATGTGAAAATACAATGGAATACAGGGTGTTCCATTTGAAAAAATCAAGTTGTACTCTGTAGATCGTTTGTTCCGAGCACCCTGTATTTTCTGATGCAACGGCAAAAAAATTTTTGAAAAATCATTTCAGATTATTTTTCAACTTTTTGAATCGGTTCAAAAATAAGTGAGCTAGAGGGGGGGACATTTATGGTTAATCACCCTGTACAATGGTGAAATAGAGGTTTATTTCATCATTGTAGGTACAATTGTTCTACCGGGTCTTCAACAATAATTGAAAACCACGTGACAGATTACTTTGCAACCAAGAATACAGTCGTTCTCTTTACCATGGGTGGAAAAGAGACGCCGCATTAAAAAGGATCACGTGGCATTCAATGATTGTTGAAGACCCGTTATTTGCCAGAGTGTCAGAGTATGTTGATCAAACATTTTTTTGTTTACCTGTTAGTAAAAGTGGTTCAATACATTGTGTTCCACAACCATTTGAACAACACCTCATTGTGCCATTGCATGCCATATCAGAGTTACATTCAAAATCGCATGAAGTTGTAGCCGCAGGAACTAAATACGGGCACTGGCCAATCTTCTTGGGCAAACCTGAAATGTAATTAAAAAAAAAAAAAATGGAATCTGTCATTTTAAAAACAACACGAGTCACATTTTCCTAATTTTATACCGAAAGGCAAAAAAACTGTAGAGCTGGGAGATTTTCGAAAAAGCTGCCTACAGAATCGCACGTTGATATTGTGATTTCTTATCTGAATATGAAGAACGGCAAAGCAAATTGAAAAAAAAATAATACTTATTCGAAAAACCCATTTTGAAACTTCAGAATAATGATGTTTTCACATGAATAGGATGACACCAATTAAAAAAAAATTCAAACTGAAGTGGTAGAATAGTATATTTTTTTTATTTTTATCGCTTGGAGCGCACGAGAGGGAATCCCTATAATGTTCAAAGAACATCGTGCGTTCCTAGGGAGGATAGGGATAGGAGGTAGGTATTGGAATTCTTTTTGAACTTCTGGAGATTATATGTTGTTGGGAACACTTCCACAGGCAATGAATTCCAGAGCCTAGCCGTTCTATGGATGAAGGAGTTTTGATAAAGTGCTGTTCGGCATCTTTCGAGGTTGACAACGAAGGGATGTGCTGACTGGGCTTGTCTAGTTCGTCTGACTGGTATTGCTAGTGAAGGGATGATAGCAGAGATTTCCGAAGAACATTTCCCGTGGAAGTATCGATAGAAAAGTGAAAGGTCGCCGACCTTTCTACGGTGTTCCAATGATGTCAAAGAGCGAGTGAGTGTGGCGTCACCCACCAAGCGGATGGCTCTTCTCTGGATGGAATCTAAGAGCATCAGTGTATGTTTCGGTGCTGAACCCCATATGTGGGAACAGTATTCTAGAACAGGCCGTATCTGCGCTTTGTAGATCATGAGGAGCTGTTGAGGTGTAAAGTAGCATTTCGCACGGAACAAGAATCCGAGTTTTTGTGAAGCAGCTTTTGCGATGGATCTGACATGGTTATCCCATGAAAGAGTGTTGCTGATGGAAATACCGAGCATAGATATGGTGGGTTTGGTGGGGATGGTGGTGCCAGACATTACAATGTCGGGCATACTGAGTTCCGCCTTTCTAGAGAAAATACAGGCTTGAGTTTTGGTGGCGTTGAATTCAACTAGGTTGTTGGTTCCCCAGGCTGTGATTTCAGCAAGGTCTTCATTGACAGCATTGACCTGCCTGCGCCGTGTGTTCTTAGTTTCCTGGGAAGAAATAGGAATTCTGGAAGAGAACGCTGTATGGAGGGTACTATCATCTGCAAAGCTGTGGATGGGGCAAGTTGTTACTCCCAACAGATCATTGATATGAAGAAGGAATAATGTTGGTGCCAAAATTGATCCTTGTGGAACGCCGGAATTGATGCCAATTGTATCAGACGATACACCGTCCACCACTACATGAAGCGATCTGCCTGAAAGAAAACTCGATAAGAGATGGCATAGCTGAGGTGGTAAGCCGTATGATGGTAGTTTGTGGAGGAGTCCTTCGTGCCAAACACGGTCAAATGCTTTCGATATGTCCAAAGCGACAGCTAGAGATTCCCCGTGTTTTTCTAATGAAGCTTGCCATAAATGGGTGACGTAGGCAAGTAGATCTCCAGTAGATCTTCGGTGGCGAAAGCCGTATTGTCTATCATTGATGATTCCCGAGCTCTCCAGATATTTGATGAGCTCAATGTTGATGGCTTTCTCCATAACTTTGGAGATTACTGATAACAGGGCAATGGGCCTGTAGTTGTTGGGCAGGTTCTTGTTCCCTTTTTTGGGGATTGGTTGGACTCTAGCTGTCTTCCAGCATGATGGAAAAATACCCGACCTGTACGAGACGGTAAACAACTTGCAGAGAATCGGTGTTAATTCTGGTGCACATTTTTTGAGGATAATGGGTGGAATTCCATCAGGACCGTTAGCCTTATTCGTTTTGAGACCAAGCAAAATTCGTCTGATAGTGCGTTGACGGAAGACGATTTCGGGCATTCGACTCTCAACGGGTGGAATGTCTGGCGGCACTTTTCCTTGGGAATCTAAAGTAGAGTTTGCTGCGAAAATCTCTGCAAACATATTTGCTTTCTCCTGCGATGTTGTTGCTAATGTGCCGTCGGATTTGGACAGTGGTGGAAATGAACTATTAGTGAAATTTCTTCCGACCGCTTTAGCAAGGGACCAAAACGAACGGGAGCCATTGGGACAATCTATGAGTTTCGATCTTATCTTGGCATTGTATGTTTCTTTCGAAGCATCTATTGTTTGGCTGCAGTTATTTCTGGCATCAACGTATTCTGCTCTAGTCGCGAGGTTAGGGTTTTTGCGCCAGCGATGGTAGGCTGTTTGTTTCAAGGCAACAGTTCTAGAACAGTTTTTGTTGAACCAGGGTTTCGATGGTGATGATCTTTTTGAAGAATGGGGTATGTATGTGTCCATTCCGAGCATGATGATCTCGGATATTTCCGCAGCACACTGTGAAGGGTCCTCAGAGTCAAAGCATACTCTATGCCAAGGAAACTCGGAGAAAAACATGCGGAGACCGTCCCAATCTCCTGAATTGTAGTGCCATATACGACGTATATTATTCAACGAGCGTATAATGAGGGCTATTATTCACGAAGGTAAAGTTTATGTCACGAGCGAGTGGCATAATTACCTTGAGTGAATAATAGCTCATTATATGCGAGTAGAATACTATACTTTGTCCACTACTAACATTGTATTTGATATATAAATTTATCTTTAACAACTGTTTTACCTTGACTCATTTGACATATGTTATATCGCGTACCCTAGGAACTCTAGACCAGTGAATTATGGCTATGCACAATAACAATATTTGGGCGATCTCTTGTTGTTGGTAGCAACACGACAAAAATTATTACCTACCACTCAAACCGTCGTATTCGCAAAAACGGAAAAATGTGTCTCCTGCCATGAGAGAATAATATCGTTCAGGTACATACATTTTGTCGTATTTTTCAATCATTAATTTGAATACCCCGAAATCTTTATCATTTCGTGAAACTGGGAGCAAAAACAGGAACATCGTATTAGTCTAAGATCCGAACCTAAGTCGACCTTCACCGAGCTGATAATAGAACGAAATATATTTTATCATGAATTTAGTATATTAGAAAACATATTAAAAATGGGTTGCCTAAAAAAATCCTGGGCAGACTATTTTCAATTATTTTTCGAAAAATTATTTTTAATTAAATGTTGCAACATCAGGATAATAAAAAAATTGTGTCCTGACTGAAAGTATGAAACGTATAGAATGTGCAGCCGTTGGGGTGTCTACTATTTACCTGGGCGAACTACTGGGTTGTCAGGTAAACACAGGTATATCGATGCCAGTTACTTTCACTGGATTGGATAATTTAAAAAAATGTATATCATCATAAGCGCTGTTTAATTGCGAACACGTTGATATAGGGTTGTCTGCGAAAATTCCGGTCCGATTAGGGGTTTTTAATTTCAACGCGCGTGGAAGTGTGTGACAGAGAGATCCGAGGTAAGTATACTGTGTGATAATAAAGGACCCAACATCGCAGTCGCTTGTGATGGGACCCTGAATAGTAGAAAGTGCGCATGCTCGGTGTGTAAACTATGGAGGGTAGAGGTACCTCTACTACCCTTCATATAGTAAACAGTGCGTGTTATTTTGGAGCAACTGATATTTCAGTAGCAAAAAAAAAAAATTAATTAATTACATAATAATTAAATATATTTAATATAATACTAATATATAAAAACAATATAATATCAGTATATTGCGTTATAACCATAATGATATATCTATAATCTATAATAGACAATAAAAATATCAAATACTTACTTTGAAATTTTTTTGCTCTTTCTGGAAATAGAAACAAAGTGGACCGCCAAAAATTTAAATTAAGAAATAACAAAAAAGATAGACTAGACATCTTGTATTACGATTTGAAATTTTATTAAAAAACAGTATAAATACAAAAATAATATTAATGAAAAATAAATTCTAATAAATATTTTCTATTCAATATCTGATTCATCAGAAGTATCATTTTGACTCTCGAATTCGTCTGATTCATTAGATTCTTCCTCATTTGCTTCCATTTCGACAATGTCCTGGATTTTCAAAGGAGTTTGATCTCCGATAAAACCTGTTGGTTTTAAGAAATCATCAAAATGCCAACCATAGTTTTCAGGATTTGACTTCGCACACTTTCTACTATTCAGGGTCCCATCACAAGCGACTGCGATGTTGGGTCCTTTATTATCACACAGTATACTTACCTCGGATCTCTCTGTCACACACTTCCACGCGCGTTGAAATTAAAAACCCCTAATCGGACCGGAATTTTCGCAGACAACCCTATATCAACGTGTTCGCAATTAAACAGCGCTTATGATGATATACATTTTTTTAAATTATCCAATCCAGTGAAAGTAACTGGCATCGATATACCTGTGTTTACCTGACAACCCAGTAGTTCGCCCAGGTAAATAGTAGACACCCCAACGGCTGCACATTCTATACGTTTCATACTTTCAGTCAGGACACAATTTTTTTATTATCCTGATGTTGCAACATTTAATTAAAAATAATTTTTCGAAAAATAATCAAAAATAGTCTGCCCAGGATTTTTTTAGGCAACCCATTTTTAATATGTTTTCTAATATACTAAATTCATGATAAAATATATTTCGTTCTATTATCAGCTCGGTGAAGGTCGACTTAGGTTCGGATCTTCTACTATATGGTTCTCATTTTCCTCAAGACAGTGTCCCTGTAAGTATATAGGTATACTGTCATCAGCGTCTTCTTTGTTGGCATGACTTCCATGATGAATATAGAATATAGGTTTGTAGGATACGACTCTGTATTATCTATATCAGTTTATCTTAAGATATAAAAATATCAAATCTTCGAGTAGAGGAATATAATTTATATCGAAGATTCATCGAAGTATTTGATGATATCTATTATTAATGGCGCAGTCGGTAGAATATTTATAATAGATATCATCAAATACTCCGATTAATCTTCGATATGAATTATATTCCTCAATACAGAGTCGTATCCTACAAAAGAGTTTTGTAGGATACGACTTTGTATTATTCATATCAGTTTATCTTTTATTTTGAATAAGTTATGTTGCTATAGTAAGGTGTAAATACTATTAATAAAAAAATAAAAAAATCTTCGTGTTGAGGAATATAATTTATATCGAAGATTCATCGAAGTATTCGATGATAGCTATTATGAGGTTCATTTTTTAAATTTTTCTAGTAATTCCTCTATAAATGGCGCAAATGAAATACATATCTCCTAAATTAGTATACAGGGCAGTAGAAAATTTGGCACGTAAGAACAACTGCGTCTTTTGACAAATTTCCTTAGAAGATATTTTGTCATGAACTTTTCCTGACTTCCTTTTATGAACGGCGTTCTGCTTCAGCATCGCGTTTGTCATGTAACCCTGGGGACTGGACATGTATCAAATAGTCATCAACCATGCAAGCTTAGAAATTGTATTCATAAAACACGGCAAAAACTATATATATTGCTTTTATCTGAGTGAAATCGATTCCGCTGAAAAACTCAGTTTTTGGAAAAAGTGGACATATGGCCATACAGTCTCCGATTCCCCCATCATGGTAACCGTTGGTATTTAAAACTTACATGCCGGCACAGGAGGGCAATAGTGGTCCTTGCAGCTGACCTCCACCAGCTGGCACTGCTCGTCCGCCCTGCACTGAACCCCTTTGCAGGGATCCCGGCACCGGCACTGCGGACACCTCGTCTCCTCGCTGAGCTCGAACCCGTACTCGCAGCCCATTCGGCACGTGAGGTCCAGGCAGTCCATGGACGCCCTGAGGGAAATTATGTGAATGTGAACAATAAACCACTAGTTCGAAGTACTGAAAAGGAATATTATCAGATATATTTATGAACACAAAAAAATTGATATACCGGGAGACACAGGAGACATGTGTAGCAGCCTGTAGTTTTTTTATTTGAAGAGATAAAATTTTGAAATTCACAGGGGGTATATAATAAATGGTAGCGCACTTTACGAACTTAACGACAATTTTTTTCAACCACCTGTTTGACCGGAAGTGAACCGATATTCAAAATGTTTTGATATTCTGATCAATGTCTGCAGGTTGTCAATAGCTTGTTTGAGTCAAGATGGTAACCTTCGAAAATAACTCGTGATATTGAGGAATCTAAGATAGGAACATATTTTTTCGAGTTCAGCTACTCGTACAGAAACTATCTGTCTTTTATTTTCGCCATGTATGTTACCTATCACATGATCTTCCCATTTGGATTAATAAAACTAAAATTGTTCCTCTTATACGATGATCCACAGGCTATCAGCCTATTTTTTCATAATTATTTCACTTAGTAGGCGGTGTACCTACACAAAATGTTTTATGTGTCTGACAGTTAATCGATTGCATCAATAATTTTTCTTCCTCATTTGTGTGTTGATTAAAATTGCATATTATCAATAGAGACGGAAAATGTATTCAAGTAACGAAAAAGTCGACAGTTGTGTCACTAAAAAGAAGTTGAAATAAATGTCAGTTTGAAAAACTACTACAATAATGTGCTTGTGAAATTATGAATCCTTCATGTTTGAAGGAAATAAATATAGATATATTGAAAAAATATCGAATTTTTACTTATCTTTGGACGTTTCGGAAATGAATCTGCTCCCGTTCTCAACATGAAAATTCAAAATATTTTTCTTTGGAAGTTGTGCTCTGCTTATAGTTTGACACTTCTCAGTGTCATACTGATGTTGGCATATGAGTGAGTGATTCTAGTCTACAAATGAGTTACAGGATGTTTCCTTCAAACATTTTTTCAAACAAAGTGTCACTGACAAGTTACTGGATTTTTCTTTTAGGCTCCCTGATCGAAAAATTTGTTAAACGCAGTGACATTTTGGGGCAAATCATCTGATTTGTCCCACTACAAATAAATTGAAATAATACGCATATTTTTATTTTATAGAAACGAGCAGAGAAAATCCCAAAAAATCAAGTAAAAAGAATGTACCACTTCTTCGATTAACTTACAGAGAGTATTTAACAAATGAAATTGGTGTTTATTTACAACCATATATGTAATGTTGTCATTACTAACTTCATTGAAGGTTGGGAAGTGTCATATTACACACCTCTACTTCCCGCCCCTCCCTACTTCCCGCCCTCACTCATGTAATAATTCAGGTATGTTCAGAACGACACATAGATTTATTAATTTTGATCGAAATATGATGGTTGTAAATCAAATAGTATACAAACCCCGGTAGGGAGTTTAATTCCTGTCTCGAGATTATAGCATAACCTCGATGCTTTGCGTCTCGGTTAACTAACTAATCTCACGACAGGAATGAATCACTTCCCACCTTGGTGTGTAATGTACTATTTTAAGCCAAAAAAAAAATTATAACAAACCCATCGCATGATGAGTGCAAAATTACCTACCTGAGCTCCGTGCAGTTCTGGGTCGGGTTGCCCAGAGCCCGCGTCCTGGGTATCTCCGTGCCGAAGTGGTCGACGCACCAGCAGCTGCCCGCCGAGCACTGGGCGGCCGTGAAGCCTCCGTCCGGGTCGCATTCCGGGGTGGGCAGGGCCAGGGACATGCCCTCTCTGGTGCCCTCCATGCTCTCGGAGAAGTCGTGGAGGTATTCGCACACTGGTAGAATATTGAGATAGGTCATCAGTTGACAAATGATAATGGTTATCTTCAATTATATAGCTATAAATTAATGGAAAATATTGGTCTAGTGATTTTTCCAGAGCAAACAACCTTGGTCTTGGTTATCATCGAAATCGATTCACAATAAGCATATATATAAATATTTTATATTTATAAATTTAAATTTTAAATTCGACAATTTCAACGGTGGGTAGGGCTCATCAAGGTGGTTCTGAATATACCATATTTGAAAGGAGTTGCAAGTTTTATATCTGAGATATAGGGTGTTTTATGATGGCTAACATTTTCACTCTTATCAATTTGGCTCTCTATGAAAGCGTATTTCATTAGGTTTTCAAATTACTATTCATCACAATAGCTGACGAAGCAAACTTTGTTTTTCTATGTACATTTATTTCTAGAAACTATTTTTTCAGTTAAATATTTATCGAAACAATTTTATCATTTTGTTTTGTACGTCTTTTCAGTTAGTACGTCTTTTCAGTTTGGACTCGAGTTTTATTAAAGTTTTGCAAACTACTATGTATTACAAAGCTCTTTCGCCATATTGGATTCGCCATCTTGAATTTCTCAGTTTTGAAGAAAAAAATCATAATCTCCTACTCCAAAAACCCCAGATACAAATTTCGAATAGAATCGGATCATAATGGAAACATTCGTTTGCCTTATTGGATCCGCCATTCTCCATTTCCCAATTTTAACAAAAGAATTATAATTTCTCCGACCCTGAAAACCCCCAAATACCAATCTTGAATAGAATCGGATCATAATTACAAAACTCGTCTGCCATATTGGATCCGCCATCTTTAATTTCCAAAATTTGACGAAATTATCATAATTTCCGACTCCGAAAACCCCCCTAGATACCAATTTTAAGTAGAATCGGATCATAATTAGAAATCTTGTCCGCCATATTGAATCCGCTACCTACTCTGATTTTTTTAATTTTGACGAAGGAATCAGCATTTCCGATCTGGAAAATCTCCAGATAACAATTTGGAATAGAATCGGACTATAATTATGAAACTCGTCCACCACATTGGACTTACAATCTTGAATTTCCAAATTTTGACGAAATAATCATAATCTCCGACCCCGATAACCCCCAGATACCAATTTTGAATAAATTTGGATCACAAAACTCCTCCGCCATATTGGACCCGCCATCTTGAATTTCCAATTTGAAAAATATGTTGAGACCGATTTTTCAGACCTATTGAATATGCACAAAAATTTACATAAGAATTGGCCAAGTCGTTTCGGAGGAGTTTGGCAACAAACACCGTGACAGGGACAGGGGAATTTTATATTTTAACACATAACCTGTTGATTTATTTTGCAATGATGTGTTTACGTTGTTGTTTTGTCTGTCTAGGTGGTATTTGTCATATATTGAATAAAAAAATATTTCATTGTTCTGTTTTCTTTTTATCTTGTATGTACCTACATTATTATCGAAAACAGATTTTCGACAGACGGATCACTTGGTTAATTAGGCTATACTGTTAGCCCAGGGCCCAACAAACTCTCTAGGTCCACCCCTGAAATCTTACACTGAATATTGGATAAAAATATATCAGCAACAGAGATATCAATGGTGTAGTTGTAGATTGTAAAAGTGTCTGAATTACACCCTTTAATCTTTTGGTTCAAACTGTTGAGGATTTGGTAGTTCGAACTCTCTGTCATCTCTATACATACAAAAATTAATCCCTATTTCCCTTGGTCACGCCATCTAGCGAGTACGGATAGACCGATTTCATTGTTGTGTTTTTTTATTGTCGGGAGAAGGTTCTTATGAAAGAAAAATATGAGAAATTCAAGATGGTGGATCTAATATGGCGGACGAGTTTTGTAATTATGTTCCGATTCTATTCAAAATAGGATTCTGGCGGTTTTTGGGGTCGGAGATAATGATTCTTGCTGAAAAATTTGATAATTCGAGATGGTGGATCCAATATGCCGGACGACTTCTGTAATCATGATCTGCGATGCTGTTCAAAATTGGTATCTGGGGGTTTTCGGATTCGGAGATTATGATTCTCTCGTCAAATTTTGCAAATTCAAGATGACGGATCCAATATGGTGAACGAGTTTTCTAATTATGATCCGAATCTATTCAAAATTCTTATATGGGGGTTTTTGGGGTTGGAGATTATGATTATTCCGTCATAATTAGAAAATTAGAGATGACGGATTAAATATGTCGAACGAGCTTTGTAAAATAGATAGTCTTTTGAAAAACTAATGAAACACGCTTTCATAGATAGTCAAACTAAAGATAGGTGGAAAATAAATAGTAGTTTAAAAAACTAAACAGATAGGTAACCGAACTGAAAAGAAGTAGAAAATAAATGATAGTTTCAAAATCTAAGAAAATACGCTTTTATGATTAGTCAAACTGCAAAGAGGTAAAATATAATATAACAGAAGAATGTTGTTGAATATGTTAACTATACAAATATTTTCTAGAAATAATGTATATGGCAAAGCAACCTTTGCCGAGTCAGCTATAGTCTTTAAAAAACTGAGAATCTTGTCTTCATGGAAAATGGGTCATGGTTTTGGTCCTATCACATTCCATCAAGCTGTAGTTCCAGCTCTTCGCATCCCCCCACAAGTTCCGACTTTGGGGAGTTACTTCCCAACTTCAATCTACCAAAATACACATCATTCATGTGAAAATACTCACTTGTTTGGGGCCTCATCTCCATCTGGCCGTGATCCTCGGACGCCTCAGCTGTCACCGAGTCCACCTCCGCCGCGGCGGTGGGGCAGCACACGGCCTGCGTGGATCCGGGCACGGCGGTGCACTCGTGCTCGGTGGGGCAAACAGTGCCGTCCTCGGAGCGCAGCGCGCAAGCCACGGGGGCGCCGCGCAAGTCGTCCGTCAACGGGGTGCCGGTTTCGCAGGGATTGGCGTACACTGCTTTGGGCCGGCCTAGAAAGGAGGAATCGGTGAAAATGAGGCCACAGAATACCCAACAATCAGAATAGCATCTCTGAGTGGGTTCGCGCATTTGAACGGCGCAGGTTGTCGGCCATCTTCCTGGGTTACTTGTTTACATGTTTAACGAATTCTGAGCTGTGGAATGATCGTGTGAAATATTCCCTGTTTACCTATTGACCAAGCAGAACTGCAATTGAGAAAAAAATGAGTTTGGTTTTTCCGAAAAACAACTTGAAAGAATAATCTATCGAAAACATGATCAAATCTATCAATTTAAATTTCAAGTAAAGTTTGTGTTCAAACCTGCCCTACTGGAAATAAAAGTTAGCTTTTGTAAACTATTTTGCATTGAGTAAAGTGTTAGTGTAATTTTGTAGGAATTGAATACATTTTACTGGTATCGATAAATGACATACAAGGTTTCTTGAACGGTCATTCATTCAAGTACTTCAACCGAGCTCAATAAACGATTCGATTCAATATCCTTTTATCCAGTTGAAATATCTACAGAACCAGAAGGTGTATAAATAATAATTTGAAATGAGAAGATGCTTAGATATGCTGGCGTTCATACAAGTAGTTAATAACCGCGCTCGACCGATTCGATTTGATACTCCTTTATTCAGTTAAAATATGTACAATTCAAAAAGGAGTATAGATAAAAATTCAATATTTGGGACGGTGGCTGTTAACAAATAATGTGAAATACTTAAAACGATAACATCACAAGTTCAACTCCAAGAATGTCCTCGGTAGTGGTCGGTGTAGTGGACGATGATTTTTATCTAACAATGATGAAAGTCTAATTTGTCAGAACAATGGAAAGTTCAAGAACCAACTATAGATATTCTGATAATAGAGACTGATAAATGTTTGTGGATACTGTTCAAAAAACAATTTTAATAAAATATCTGCATTATATAAAGAGACATTGAAAGTACTGTATCGTTTACCATATGATACACCAACAAATCAATTACCTTCATAAAATAACTGAATCATTCTCATTCAGAGAAATGTTAAAAAAATTGAAAACATGACAATTACATACAATATCATAAATAAGAGACTGAAATCCAATTTTAATTCAACAATGAAATTCATGATTACCAAACTAGACAACATGGTTTATTTCATCTTGATACCGCTTTCTCTTCTATAGGCCAAAAAAGAGTCACCCACGCTGCTCTTCTCGAATATAACAAATTACCAAATAATATAAAAAATTGCAGAAGTACAATAAAATTCAAATACGAAAATTATCATTTCTGAACGAAATAGATGATTTTTTTTCAACTTTTGATTCATATTCAAATTGATTGTTGCTCACCAATATGAAGTGATTTGTCAAAATTTAATACTTAATGTATTCAAATATTATATTATTCATGAGTTTATTATAATTGTATAGTTTTAGGTATTATTGTTAACTATACTTCCATATATCAGAACTTGATTCTGACTGGAAGTCCGATTTTGGAAGTCCGGTTGAGATTTGTTATGGAGGAATTTTTTGATCTGATCTGCGTGGACCCGGGTGCGATACTTATGAGTATTTCTTCCTTCATTTCTTCAACGTCGTTGTTACTTCAATAGTTCAATCTAATAAAAATATGAAACTCAGAAAAACCGGTGGTGTACAATGACATTCACCATGAATATCGATAAATTTACCCAATGTGACGCCACTGGAAATATTATTTCGAAACTAATTGCACTAGAAGCAGCTCCATATTACCATATTACTATTAACAGAACCACGACGATTTATTGAAATTGATTTAGAAGACAACTGAGATATGAATAGAAAAAATATTTTTCATGGAAATAATAATACCCTGTATCTCGAAAACGAAGCAAGTTAGGACACAAGTTTATAGGAACTTTATTTCCCAGAATATCATAAGAAATAATTACCCCTACCTTATTTCGGTGTTATTTAGATACACCCTGTATAATTCAGAAAACAGCTGTTCGCCGTATTAACATTGTTGCGAGAATGCTATGCTAATACCTCGGCTAATACTGTCGTCAAATATGATAATTCTGTGATAACAATTTATTTCATCTCCATTTCATCTAACCCTTATCCCCTCTACCCCTCCCTCGCCCCTTGGATGCGTCCCTGTGGTAAAATGAGCTTTTAGGAGGCGTTATTGATACTCACAAACTGGCAAAGAAGGGCATAAGAAGTCCGTGCAAGATGATTCTCGAACATTAACGCACTCCTCATCTTCAGGGCACATGTAGCCGTCACAGGGATCGTCACATTTACAGGTATGGCATCCGGCTTCGTCCAATTTGAAACCGTATTCGCAAACTTGTGCACACTCAAGCTGTTCACATTGTTTGTTGTCTTTGTCCAAACTTCTGGCCAACGATTCGGAATGACCTGTAAATACATATCAGCGAATGAAGAATAGAAGCAATTAGATTTTACAAGCCATACACACAGCACATTGCTATTGAGCAAATAATTATAATTATAAGATATATTGGAAATTGACTATATTATGTGATAGATTGAAATCTCCAAAAGTTTGGAATCGATGTGTCAGGATACCAGTGAAATCGTTTTTCTAATGATTACTAATTTCGCTGAAACTCTGCATGCTAATTTGCGGTTATATGGTGGTATTATTTTGATGTACCTAATTAGAAAATTGATATCGATTTCAGTGATATCCATGATGGTAATTAAGTCGACATTTATCATTCTTTGTATTTTCATTTTTTTAGATTGCGCGATTTCCAATAAAATGTTTTAGTCTTCTTAGTTTTTCTCATACCTTGCTTATTTTTTGAGAATGCTTGAAACATTTTTTGCATGTCTCTGAACACTCTTGAATAAATGAAAATATGAGCAAAAATCATAATATTCACTGAATATAGATTAGAATACTACTATGGACACCCAAATATTCTTGGACTATTAATAATAAAAAAAATTCGACATATATCTTATTATTGCAACTTGAAAACGAAGCAATTTTGAATGCTTGTAGGAGAAATGACACATTCTTTCCAATCATATACTGAACTAAAAAACAGTTTTTCTACGGCTATGACATAAAATTGTCTTGTTCTTCTTTGTTCCACACATCAATATACCTCATTGATATGACAATGACTCCATAGTATTATTATTTCAGGAGTTTCAAGCAATGACAGCTTTGTCTAATAGATGAGCATTACTTGAGAAGAAATGTATAATGTATAACTCGCATGGATTGCTAGTTTCCCACTCGAATGATTGCAGCATTCGCTTACGGCTCATGCTGCGAACTTCATTCTCGTGAGAAATCACTATCATTCCGTGCTCGTTAAACAATATACTATTTCATGGTGTCAAAAACTCCTGTGATGTTCAAGATTGGGCAGGAGGGTTGTTTTACTTTCAATGAGAAGAAGATATTCCAACGTTGAGGTGAAATGAAACAAGGGAAAGAGTATCAATGTCATTGTCATGCAAAGTTATAAAACATAACTGAAATTTACGATAAACGAAGAAAAATACGAACAGCTGGAGTCTGCATACTGTTCGATTTTCATTGAGAATAATAATCGCTGACATCAAAGAACAACTATAATGAGAAATCAATAAATGAGTCAATCCCAATAGTATTGTAGTATTGATTGAAAAAACAATTGAAAAGTCATTTATCAATTTCCTCTGAAAAGTCATTGAACATAGACACAAAATGAAAGTTTATTTATTCGCTATAATATTGTTTTTTTTTCATTGTTCCTCAGCTGGGCTGAACTACCATGTACTATAAGATTTTTATTACGCACCTTCAATCAATGAACAATTGACATTTTCTGCAGGTCCCATGGAACCTTTGACTTTTCGTCCTAGACGATCGACACACCAACAGACCAACCCGTTTCGGCTGCACTGTTTCGGCTCGAATTGACCATCGGTGTTGCACTGGGGCACATATCCTCTTCCAGCTCTTTCGCTGACTGCCAAAACTTCAGAGAGGGAACGCTGGTGAAGACATTCTGGAAAGTGACAATGAAATCAATGGATTATGGTAAAACAGTAATAATCGAGTTTCACATAAAATATAAAATATCTTCTAATGTCACCTTCGAAATCAATAATAATACCGTTGAAAACTCCACTTAATCTAAATTCTTAGGAACGCTTATAGTTTGTATCTTAACATGGGAGGATCAAATAGAAATGGTTTGTGAAAATATCAACAGAAGCTCTTACATTTTGGCAACACTAAGAAATATTTTGAACACAGATTCATTATTACCGGTTTTACTATGCATTTGTCTATTCCACAATTTCATACAACATTATAGTATGGGGTCAGGCATCGGATATATCAAGGATTTTTGGTGCTCAAAAACGAATCATAAGTCACATTTTTAACATAAGTAGTCGACTAGTCGCCAACATCAATTTATTTGATGAAACTCTCAACATACGTTTTCATTAACAAACATTCATTTCCTATTAATAGTGATTCACATTAATACATCGCTAGAAATAAGAAAAATATCAAACTGAACAAGCCGTTTTCTCAACTGACTGCCGAATGAAATGAAAAACTAGAGATCCCCGGCTGTTTTCAACTCCTAGTCAGAGAATAATTTCATACTGTTGAGGAATTCGAATCCTACTTTTCAATTTTAAAATAATACAGAAGTATTTCTCAATTTATGTTAGTAATCACTGTAATTGTTTCATCTTGTCTCACTAAATGATATACTGAAACTTTCTAACATGGTAGACATATCTTGAAAAATTTTTCAGTGAGTTATTGAGAATAGCAATTTTGTGGGTTTTAAAATTGTTGGAAAAGTTGTTTGTCGCCTAAATTTCCATTGTTGGCGAATTGGAATTTTTGGCGAATACATCTTTTGGCGTTTTCGTTATTTTGGCGAATGAACGCGATATGGTATTTCGCGCATGAGTTGCAAACACAATTTTTAAAATAAATAACCTAGCGATCACAAACGTCTCTGGAATGTTTTTTGAAAATGCTGGCATGATGATGATGATGTTTTTTTCGAAGGTAATATGCACTTCTCAAAGATGTCTTTGAAGTATTGTTTTTGTTCTCTGGAATTTAACTGTATGCCTACTGAGAGCTATCCCTGGGATGTTTTGGGATGTTTTAAAAATGTAGGCATCAGGGTGTTTATTTGAAACGAGATATGCATTCCCAAGAGGTCTTTGGAGGATATTAAAAGTATCGTTTTCGTTCTTCTGTGGCATTCCTTTGTTTGCCTACTGAGGAAGTATCTCTAAGATGTTTCGGGATGTTTCAAAAATGTTGGCATGACGATGTTTTTTTGAGTCGTAATATGCACTTCCAAAGAGGTCTTTGAAGGATATTGGAAGTATTGTTTTTATGTTTTCGTTCTTCTGTACCATTTCTTCGTTTGCCCCACCACAACTTCTCATGCTTACGTCACAATAAGATGAATTCTGATTTGTTTTGTTCTTGTTCGCAAACGCGACTTTTTATTCCATTATTTCAATACCAACGACCTCCTATTTTTCTTAGAACAATAGCAACGACATTCGACATATAATAGGCGTATTATTCATTCTAATTGAAAATGACCAGACCTGTCGTCCATAATCCGTCAAAATATTTCAAACAGCACAGAATATTTTACGAATATTCTGATAATGTTCATAACGCTCGTACTCATTTTAGAATATTCTGATAGATGTTATTCTTGGAATGATCATAGAATGTTTTCATCCATGAACATTCAATTTGAATATTCTGAGAATATATATGGACGTTATTCTTGTATCAATATTTATAAGGTTTCCCCTGAATCACCCTATCATTCTCTATAGCCTCAATACTAATTATTATGCTGCTATAATAATGAAGTGCATCATGTTGACATCTTCCTTCTTTTTTCTATAATATATACCCACCAGGAATCGTTTATTTTCAGCGCAACGTTTCGGTAAGGTTATGTTGTGTCCATGGAAAGACTATAAGAAAGCCAGGCAGAATGTAGTTTTGTGATATCCTAAAGATATATTTATAGACGCCTATGAAGTTCTATTCATGTGTGAACAGGACATCGCAGTGGAGGTTCAATGCATCGACATTTCGTACTTTCAAAATCTCTGAGATGTTTTTGTGCTCGCTAGGAAATATTCTCAACTTATATAAAAATAGTGAACTGATGGCTTAAAAAGCCTTAATTATTAATAAACCTTCAAAACGAATTGACTTATTTATTTATATTACATTGTTGACGAAGTTTAATTCTTGCTTATTATCTTCTGGTTGAACATAAAGAGGTATTTTGAGATGAAAGAAATGTACTTATGTATTTATATAACCTTCTTATTCGACGTAGATTTTTAGTTCGGTATCGTATAACAAATAAACTTCTCTCAGTTCTCTCCATATCTCCATATCTCAATATCTAAAATGAAATAGGTACTCTGGTAATATTAACATTTCAATGATGATATTTTGTTTAATAGCTGAGTTATTCGTTATTGACATCAGACTGCTCCGATCAATCTGTTTCGTTCGTTTATAAATTGTTCAAATTTTAAGTGCGTTGTATTATTTTATAATTCACTTTTTGTGAATTTCTTGAGAAAATCAATGTTAAACAACAAATCTAACCACATAAATCCGTTGAGTAATATGTGTCTTAACAAGAATTAAAATACTTTATACAGATCTGTCATGACAGCGCTCTGCACCGTTCGTTTATTCCAATTAATTATTCTATAATCTGTGGTCACATGACAATAAATCTGAGATGTTTATAATTCCTAAATAAATCCCTCGCATCTCGGATGGAATTGCCGAACTCGACTAATCTATGAAGATCGCCTGAGAACATCCCTGATCAACGTGTATTTATTATGTAACGTAACTAGTCATTTCGTAATCCTAACTTATATGGCACCCAATAATGCCTTGCAGCAATCTCTTTGTATTGGCATATTTATTGCATGAGTTCGTGCAGAGACTTCAAATGCCGCGCATCCTTCTAAGTAAACAATTAATAATTTGAATGTGGAAATGTCTACGAGACCGATCGGCCGCTAGTTAACAATGTTCGTAGAACATTTTACAGAAAGAGAAAGGCAAAAGTCACACGATATTCTGCAGTCGTTCTGATGAGAAAAAAGATTAAATAATAATTGCGGAAACAATGTGAGATTGCACATTTGCGTGGTTAATTTAGGCTAATATTTTGGCGATTGTGCTTTTATATAGCGTGTTCCACTATGAATGCTCCAAATTTGGAGAAGTATCGAGAACTTTCAATATGTTCATCAGTTTTCCCGAAACGAACATTATTTTGGACAGTTTGTTTCAAGGTTCCATGAACTCGCATGACTTATACAGAGTGATCTATATAAGAATACTAAGAAGTAGTCAGTGAGGTTGATATAATTAATTTGAAGCAGAGTTTGAAATGAATTGAAATTAAAATACCGTTTAAATTCAGTAGTATAATCCGCCGTCCATAACGCGTTAACCGACTGTCTTGGTAACACCCAAAGTTTGTAAACTCAACGGGATGGTTCATCTCGTATATATACTACAATATATGACACAGATTTGACGTCATGTCGTTCACAAGACCCTTTGCTGAATGGTGCAAGTATATACAAGTCAATGAATGACAATTACAGATCGACAGATATCTTGAATTTGATTTCATTCGATATTCAACGTTAAAGCTGATTAAATATTTTCTGGCGGATATGAGATGTATAAACATTTCTTCAGATTCAACTTTAGATTCGAATTATTCTCCATATAACTCTGGAGTCGTAGTTGAACCTACAAGGACATACTTGAGAACAAAATATTTTTTTTATTAGAGATGTGTGAGTGAGTATAGTGTCAGTGGAAAATATACTGTTAAGCTTCTGGTTGAGTATTTCAGATTTATTCACTGTATGAATATGGGAAATGGAATTCTAGCAACAGTTCTAACAGGAAAAAAATCCTCTCCGCAAACGAAAATATGTCTTGAAGTTGCATACGATATTTGAGGTTGAGGATTCCAGACAAAATTACAACAGTCAATGGTTGGGGTGACGTCATGTCGTTCACCCTGTTGATTGATTATGGATCATCCTGTTGAGTTAACAATCCTTGGGTAACACCAAATCGCAACTCCTTCCCCATTATCATAGTTGAGAGTTGAAACTGACAGCTAAGCTGGGATTGTAGTGAATGTTTGGTTTCAGTAACTTTCGAAAACAGGAAAAGTATATTTTATTCTGCTGATCACAATATAACGGAGGTGAGAAGTCAAAAAATATATTCTCCTCAACAAATAATTATTGAAAGCCGTTGCTGGAACCTGAATGGATGATATGCATGTAGGTTTTCTTCAGCCTATACGGGGATATTTTTCGAATCAAAGGTGGTATGTGAATAAACGAGAAAAGAATTATTGCACTTCTCGGGTTGTTCCTGTATTTTTGATGCAATTTCAGACTTACCTTATTAATTTCCGCAGGGAAATATTATTCTTACTTCTACATAAAAAAAATACACGGAACATTTTAGCAAGCGACTGTGAGGAATATTGTCATCAGACGGTTTGGGGTAGATTTTGGAGATTGTGAGGATTTTGTTACGGGGATTTCTCCATAACAGAAAAGGAACAATTCAATCTACATTCTCCTTCAGTTTGACGAGAATGAGAAAGGAGTTCGAATGAGTATGAGTCGAAAAATAACTCCTTATAAAAATAAAGCACCCTCTTTTCCCACTCGGTTTGTTATTTTCCTTCAGAAGTGTATTGAACAGGGTTGATGGCTTAGTGTATACTCTCATCGCTACCTTTTCGTTATCAAATATTCTGGAAATTTTCTCATAGAAAAGTACTTTTGTTTGACTATGATGGAATGCAAAATTTTGTAATGAAATCTTTGAATTGAATTAAACATGCATGAAGTTGCATGAGGAATATCATCCATAATCTTGATACGCTTTTGATTCAAGTAACAAATGATTGGGCTACAATTTCGTTCATCATACCTACTTCTCCATATTCTGCATAGTTTTGTCATGTTCTTCAATGTTCGAATCGATTTCATTATCGAACTGAGCATTTCATATAAGTCTAAAAATAGTAGGTACTCAATTTTTTCGAAATCATATCACAATTTCTATAGTTAAATTGCATGAATAAATGTTAACAAAAAAGTGAGGACTAAAATTACTCTAAGCCGACTGAATAAAAACTTCAAATTCTATATACTTTCATGAATTTGGCATAAGAAGTGGAGTTCACTAACAAAATTTCATTTCCTCGATCAATTTCCAAAATAACGACATCTATCTTCATGCAGTCTTAAGGTAAGCCTCCTTACAAGACTGTAGACCTAAGAAGAACATTTTCGACCCACGTTCATTAGAACCTTTGAGTGTATACATATAATCAAGGTTGAAACTTATGGTCTTGAAATCTATTGTCAGAGTATAGCATGCTAATAAAGGGACACCCTGTTTAAGGAAAGAATGGTATAAATTATTTATTATATGATATGACGTAATGAATGAAGAATTCAATTTCAGATTTCCGATGACAATGAACTGTAGGCGGATTATTAACATTCGATACAAGTGAAACCATGAACCGTGAACAACCTGAAATCTGTCTATATACAGAATGTCACACTTCAAATATTCCCCCCTCTTCATATCAGTTATTAGTCATGTTATTTTAACCAAATCTGGATTGGAACAATTAATGTGATCAGATCATCAGAGAGGAGCAGTATTTTGGATAGTTGCTGTAGGTTTTTATTGAATTAAATTATATATCGGGTCGATTTTTCGCATAATCTTATAGGGTGATTTTTCACAGGAAATCTAACCTCATAGTATTATTCGAACACGCTTCTGCAAACTCTCATGTAATTTCGAATGTGTTTTCACGTTTTCACGAAATGCATTTCATTAAAACTGCAATTTGTTAGGGAATGGTGGATTGAACGAATTGAAAATAAGCTTTGAGCAATTAGAGATTTCTACTTACGCTTTCAAAACACATCCATTCAAAATTTCATCACAATGTTGCCAGTAATTTCAACATAATCGTAAAAAATGTGTAAAAAAATTTTTTTCAACACCTAGTATCTTGAAAACGCATGCCGTTACGACATTTTTTCACTGAGCAAACCCAACTTATTTTGCAATGTTCTACCTACCCTAGCAAGGGGGTTAAGTTTTTTTGAAACACCCTGTATTATTTTATCGACCATTTCTTCAGAATGAACTTTTCCTACCTACTTGAGCTATCAATTGATCACAATTTCGCAATTTATCGAATTAATCAGTTTCCGGTCGACAATAAATGACAAAAAAAATTAAGCGTTCCTGGAAATTTGGAAAATGAGAAAATGATAATAAATCAGAAGTTTACAAAAGTTGTGCTGTGTTAAATTCGATTACCTGTCTTTCATGCTCAAATTTAATTTAATGCCCTTATTAACAAAAAAGTTGATTTGTATGGCGAGCCTCAAAGTTTGGACACCCGGTATAATGATATGCCTTTCATTTTTACCTGTTACATTGTTAGGATGAATGCACGATGATCCACATTGTTCTGTGTTACAACACTTCTGCACCGAAGGACATTCTAGATCATGAGTGCACAATATACCACATTCATGATGTTCTTCTGTTCCCACTGGACATGTTCCGGTTTTCTGGATTTTCAGCGAGGCAGGACAACATACTCCATAATCGTTTCCTTAAAAACCAGAAACACAAAATGTATTATCAAAATTACAAACTGCAAGGTCATTTTGGAGAACCAAGCCACACTATAGGCATCTATAGGTGAGCAGCATGGGAATTTTCAGAAACAATTGATGCATAATCAGAACACAAATATTGCTGGAAGTTAAACATGTGCAATAATCATATTTGGTGCACTCATCAAGATTGTTGCAAGTCAAAGAGGATACAGGGTCCAAATGATAAAAAAGAATTGTTCTGAACTATACCAGGAGAATATCACTACGTTAATTTCAATAGACTATATTATATTTTCCAAAAAATGTATTGTTGCTCAATACCAAAAATATTGAGGTTGTAATTTAGTTCAGCCGTTTATGAATCATTCAAAGTTGGATATTTTAAATTCATTTGATTATTTGATTGACATGCTTTATTGTCCAAAGAGTATTCATATCTTATTGACAAATTGATATTTTTCTTATACCTAATAACATAGTATCGAACATTAACACACCCAAAAATATCATAATTACCACGTATTATATACAGTGTCATTCATACATCATATGGGAAAAACTTTCATTAATGACTTATTTTGAAATTTGAGTTGGGCGTCAAGTTTTGCTTCAAAAAAGATGAAAAATGGCCTACTCAATCGGGGTCACGTGACATTTTTTCAAATTAATCGCTGAAAGTAGGCTTATTTGTTCGAATATCGAAAAAGTTTACTTGAAAAAGTTGTTTCTATTTGAATTTCACATATTATTATGTGACTCGGATTTTATCTTTCTATTACATTTATTAGATTCCGATATTTTTTAAAAATTTTCGAAATTTCTGTAATATTAAAAAAATTTTAAATTCGATAGAACTACTTCATACCAGTAGCTTCATCATGTTACTAACTTTTAATTACTAATTATCACTAATTATCGACAAAAATATGATTTTCTTCAGAAAATGATAATCTCCTCTTCAAAATTCTGTTATGTTTAATGCAAACATAACATCAAAATTCTGTTATGTTTGAGTCAAGCATTCAGAAACGAAATTAATTTAAATTTATTTTTTCAGTACTGAAAGATCAGTTTAAATGAATTTCGTTTCTAAATGCTTGACGATATATCAACTTTGCATCAAACATAACAGAATTTGGAAACGGGTATTATCATTTTCTGAAGAAAATCATATTTCTGTTCATAATCAGTCATAATGAGTAATTGAAAAGTAAGTAGAATTAACAATTCTACAAATATTACAGAAATTTCGAAAAATTAAAAAAAAAACAAAATCTAAAAGTTGCAATAGAAAGATAAAATTCGAGAAGCATGTGTAAAATTGAAATAGAAACAACTTTTTCAAGTAAATTTTTTGGATATTCGAACAAATAAACCTACTTTCAGCGATTAATTTAAAAAAATTTCACTTTTGACATGTAGCGAAAGTCACGTGACCCCGGGAGTAGGCCATTTTTCATCTTTTTCGAAGCAAAACCTAACGTCCAACTCGAATTCCAAAATAGGTCAATAATAAAAGTTTTTCCCATATGATGCCGACTTTATGAATGATATATGTATAATGTATATGTATAAAATCTAAATGTTATTTCATATTATTGATGAAAAAATCATCATTAATATCACAGTTCTCTAATACATAAAGAAATTGAAAACAGTCTGCTTGAAATTGTTGCGGGTTATAATACGGTTTTTCATTGAGGAATTCTTTTACGGCTTTCCTGAAATGAATGATATCCGCGGTTTTCAAATAATTTAGTAAGTGAGTGAGTAAGTGGATTATTCAGTTATTGTTTATTTTATCAAATCAGAGTAGCTATGAAATAACTGAAATAACTAAAATAACTATACGGTAACTATCTATGATCGACCAATTAGATAAATAACTCACCTTTTTGGACCAGGCATTGATACAAGGGAGGGCATTGTGGTTTTCCAGGATCATTTCCACACAGGAAGGGACGAACTGTGTCACTGATTCGTAAAGGGTCTCCAACTGGACAAATATTCTCCAGACTTCTACCCCTTTTACCTGAACATGAATAAAATAATGAAGATTTGGAACAGGCCCACCATGAAAATGAATCATTTGCATCTCGAACAATTGACGTATAATATGATAATATGATGCTAATCGATTTGGACGTGTTACTGAGATTGGAAGCTTTTTCTCTTGAATTTGTCTGAATAGTCATAACTACATTCGCATCTCCTGTTGACAGCAAGATAATTTTCTGAAATTCTGACCCTTCGAATGTGAAGATTCATAGGTTTCATCATTCCCTTGTGGAAATAAATTCAAATCTGTGGACCCGAACACTCGGAATATCAGTTTTTTTATTGAAATGTAGACATTCTGGCACGAGATGGAGCATCATAACGCCACTGATCGGACCAGAACCATTCTGCGGCCTTGGAAATTCTTATTTCCAAGAAGAACCTAATGAAGCTGAAGATTCAATGACTGTGGCTGGCCAAAGATTTTTTTGGCAAGTTCAACCGAGCAAGATCGAAGACACTGATCAATTTCAGCAAAATTAGGCAATAACATCTGAGGGAGCTTGGCCTAGAGGAGGACAGATTCATCCAGAAACACCCGTGCCGGATTTAAGGGGGGGGGGCTATGGGACTATCAGCCCCCGGCGGTGAATTTCAAGAGGCAGTAGAGAAAAAGAGAAAAGAGAAAAAGCAAGCAGCAATACAGTCGTCGCCGACGAGGCGACAAATATATTATATTGCTTCTTGCTTATTATATATCCCGCCTCTTCAGTCGCCTTTTGAAGCAAACGCGCAATTAGCTACTGCTGGCATTCAACACCGCATCAGAAGAACTTGGTTGAGATACTGTCTTTCGAAAGAACTTAACTATAAGGTAGTCAGAACCCGTAAGAGGAAACTGGCTCTTGAAGAAGCTGACACTGAAGCTTTATTGACACCACAGACCAGAATGCGAACCCAGGTAATACCGTATTCCTCAAAGCTGAAGAAACATAAGCTGTTGTCGGATGCGCAATATGGATTCACAGAAAATAAATCTACCCAAGACGCAATAAAAGAACTAACCAAGAAAATATATAGTTCTATAGATAACAAAAAACCTTCCATAGGAATTTTTTTAGACTTAGCAAAGGCTTTCGATACCGTGGACCACAACATTCTTTTATCAACCTTAGACGATCTAGGAGTGAGGGGTAAAGCATATGATCTTTTAAGCTCATACTTAATTGGCAGGGAACAACAAACGAAAATAAAATCCATCTATAGCAAAAAATAAATAATATCATGCGGTGTACTCCAGGTAACGGTATTGGGGCCTTTGCTCTTCAATATATATTTGAATAACTTATTCTCAATACAAAAAGAAGGCAGCATCATAAGTTTTGCAGATGATACTATTATATTTTACGAAGGAGATACATGGGACGACTTGGAAAGTAAAATTAAAAGCGAAATTGTTAACATCAAAAAATGGTTTGATAATAGACTATTATCAATAAATCTCAAAAAAACATTCTACCTGCCGTTCTGTAGCTTATCCACCAACCTCCCAACATTCGATAAGATATCTTTAGGAAATAACCTCGAAATATTACCAACAAAAAGTGTCAAATACTTAGGTATAATGATAGATAGCCATTTGAGATGGGATGTCCATATTAGTTATCTTGTCAAGAAATTACGAAATATCCTATATAGATTCAAACAAGTATCAAATATACTGGATATTAAGCAAAAGAAAATACTCTATCATAGTTTAATCGAATCACATTTAGATTATGGTATTATAGGATGGGGTGGAGTGTCTAAGACACACCTGAAACCACTAGAAATTATACAAAAACGTGTATTGAAACAAATAATGTGTAAAAATAACAGATATCCAAGCCAAGCCTTATATGAAGAGGCACAGGTCTATGATCTAAGGAAACTTTATTTCATGAGACTAGGAGTTACACAATATTTACATAAAAATGAACTACTAACTCATTCCCACTATCATAATACACGGCAGAAAAATAATTTCATAATCCCCTTCATGAATAAATCAATTGGACAAAATTGTTATACATACTTGGGACCAAAAGTATATAATTGCTTGTCTGAAAATATACAGAATGAACCGACAATCCAACGTTTCAAGAAATCGTTCAAAGATTATTTAAAAAAATTACCATCCGAATTCATAAAATCAATTATAGAAAACTGAAAGAATTCAATGAATATATTTTCCTGTACTATCTGTCAAAAAAAATACTACTTATTTACTTCAAATATATATGCTTCGAATATTTTTTTTCACACTATCCATACAGAATTTTGGGATCATTCGTATTATTCGATTTTTTTCATATATATATATTTCTCATATATTCTCATTATATTTTTATTATAGGTTATTAAATATTCATAATTACGATATTCACCAACAATTTAATGAGGTTTAAGTTTTTAAGTTTTTAAGTTTTTATACCTGCATAGGTAATAATATTCAATTATTAATGTTTGTATATAGCTTAGGTATATTCACTTGCACTTCGAACTAACTACACACTGGTACACATGTATATTTCGATGTACATGTTACCTCGTAGTTGCTCGTATTTATTCACACTTACATTCAAAGTTCCATAATTCATGTAACTATCATGTAACTATCTCTTTTTTTTTTTTTTTTTTCTGTGAATAAATTATTTATTATTATTATTTATTTATTCGGTAAGTGAAGTAAATATTCGTGCTGAAGCCTACAAAGATCTCACTTCTACATTCGCATTTTTGTTCCCAATTGCATCTCTTCCAGATGATGTCATCGTAGATAAAGCACGTGTTTTGATTGATGTATACCCAAATGATGTAGATGAGTCACTCGGCAATGAATGTGTTCAATTGAAATATTTCCTGAATTCTATTGCCGAAAACAAAAGTGATGAAATATTCAATGCAAAATCGTTGGCGCTTTCGAACAAATACAAGATCACATCAGATACTTTTTGCAACGTGGAAGTAGCTCTAAGAATTTTCTTATCCCTGATGATTAGTAATGCCAGTGGTGAAATGTCATTCTCAACCTTAAGAAGAGTGAAAAACTACCTTAGGAATTCCATGGTAGAGGATACATTGAGTAACATCAATTTTGAGTATAAACAGTGACATGTTATTGAATCGGGACTTTTAATGATGCCATTGACGACTTTGCATCAAAAAAAATCAAGAAAAGTATTTTAGTATTCATCAAAAAAAAAAAAAATGTTGTTTGTTGTTATGTTTAACGTGTGAAGTAAATATAATTTGATTCGTTGTATATAATGATTTCATGTTATTGTTATACGCTGTGAAATTTGATATTTGGCGGCGGCGCGGCGGCAACGTAAAAGTTAGCCCCCGGCGTAAGGGAGTATAAATCCGGCACTGAACACGCCACCAGATCTTGCTGGAGTGTTATATTGTACATCACGAGGAATTGAATTTACTGGAACCATACCAACTGACTGTGGAAGAAATTCCATGAACAGATTCCCTCAAAATCCCCAAATTCCTCATAGAATCTGTGGATGTATAAATAAATATATCGGACTTAGAATTGATTGAAGTCTATATTTTATATCTTGACAAATCTCAAATAATCTTGACAACTTCAAAAGTTTTAATTACAGGGAGATACCTACTACATTACTCCCCCCTCAGTGATAACGAAAGAATATTAATCAATAACATCAATTCAAACAAAATTTGACATTCTTTTTATATGGCGTTGTATGCGAACTTTTATTAAATATGTTTTCTTGTTTTCTTAAAATTCCTTTTTGTTCTTCTGTTTCGATATTCTCAACAAATGCCGGTTTCAGACGATCTATAGAAATATTTTTGGTCTTTCCATTGATTAGTAAAGAGAAATATTTTTCAGTCCTTTCTAGTACTAGGTATGGTCCTGAATATGGGGGAATTAAAGGCTTTCTAACTGCATCAATTCGAACAAAAACATGCGAACATGTTTTTAGTTCCTTGAAAACGAAAATACTTTTTGTACTGTGATCAGATGCAGGTTTGGGTTTGAGTTGATTCATGACATCTTGTAGATTTTTTATTAATTCTTGATGTCTCGATGGCGTATCATTCTGAATGATCATATCTCCTGGAATTCGAAGATTTGTTCCGAAAACTAATTCTGCACTTGATGTGTTCAAATCTTCTTTCAGAGTCGTCCTCATACCTAAGAGTATGGTTGGAAGAATTTCAGTCCACTTTTGATCAGCATGACATTTCAAAGCTGTTTTCAGCGTTCTGTGAAACCTTTCTATCATACCATTGGTACAAGGATGATAAGGTGTTGATCTGGTCTTATGAATTCCTAAAATTTTTGTAAATTCCCTAAATAGTGAAGACTCGAATTGTCGTCCTTGGTCTGTTGTGATATTGAGAGGTATTCCAAATCTACTAATCCATCCACTATAAAATGTTCTAGCAACTGTCTCTGCAGTAATGTCTTGAAGTGGAAATGCCTCAGGCCACCTAGTATATCTGTCGATACAAGTCAAACAGTATGTATATCCATTCGATGGGGGTAAAGGACCTATCAAATCAATATTGATGTGTTCAAATCGACTACTCGGTATTTTGAAAGATGCTTTTGGACTGGAAACGTGTCTCGTTATCTTAGCTTTTTGACAAGCCAAACAGGATTTTGACCAGGCTTTGATATCATTATCTATCTTTGGCCAAACATACTTTTTCTTGATCTGTTGCATAGTTGATTTAATTCCAGGATGTGAAAGGTTATGGATTTTTTCAAACACGTCCCTTCGGAACTTCTCAGGTATGTACGCACGTCACCAAAGGTACCTCCGGTACTGATTTTGAAAAATTTCAACAGATTTATGATCTGCTCTTTCTTCAGGTTCTGAATATACTTCACCATGTCGTGTTACTAACGTTCGGGGTCACCAATTGTGGATGTATAAATAAATATATCGGACTTAGAATTGATTGAAGTCTATATTTTATATCTTGACAAATCTCAAATAATCTTGACAACTTCAAAAGTTCTAATTACAGGGAGATACCTACTACAAATCAAAGCTTGAGGGGCTGCTATGAACAAAAAGACCTTGAGATGAAATCAAATCAGGTCGCAGCGCATCTGATGTCACCATCCACACATAACAATACCTATACCAATGAGAAAATTCTCGACCACTGTAATGATTTTCTCTGATACAGAGGCGGAAAAAACATCATTAAACAGATCATCATTATAGTCATACTCATTAAAAAGATATTCCCTTCAATGGTGAAAAAGTTCATCGTCGATGAAATACCAAAACTAGAACCAATTGCATATTTATTTCATCCAAATGAATATCGAAATAAGAATTGAATCGTAGTAATATCACTGAAATTCGCAAACAACAAATTCTTCGATTCAGGTGATCACGACAATCGACTAATCGAGTAGGAACATCCTGTATATTCCATTGCCAAGCCTGAAAGAAGACTGATTGCAAAGGACACGATGTTATTTGAGCTGGCAGAATGATGTTCACTTAACCTTCTAAAAGTACGATGGTATTTCGAATCGGAATAAAATATTTAGTGAAAGTGAAGACTATAACGACTATAACTATACATTCATTCCTATTCCACGAGGAAAATGAAAACGTTAACTCGAGGAGTGCCTGACTCACGTTGCAATCATCAGCATGGGAAATGAACGAGGTTTTTTCGTGGATTTTGAGGAGAGTTTAAAGTTCAGGGATCCAATTTATTGTTTCAACATCAAATACAAAGATGCGACTGATGGCACATAAAACCATTCACGAGGTCATCCTGTGTAATTTCATCCTTTGTAATTTCAGAGCTGATAACATTAGTTATATATAGGCATCTAATACACGATGGCTATCTGAAAACGAAACAGAGGCTTTGTGGATCGCCAGATTCGGATTATAAAAAACACGGGAACACGTCAACTATATTTTCGAGAAGGACATCGTACTAAAATATTTTCAATGCTGCGGCGTTGCCGCTTCTATCGAAAAGTAGCAATAACTTTGTTATTTCCTGAAAAGGGCTGATTTCATCATTGTATCACACTTGGGATCTAGCGAGAATCATTACAGAGATATTGGGTATATAAAATCGGGACTTTTCAAGTTTAGGATTTTTTTGTATCGAAACTATCCGTTATTGGTCAAAACGGCTTACATGTCCCTAATAGCTTAGCTTTTGATTCACAATCTACTGGCATTTAATTGAAAAAAATTGAAGGTTCGTTCAAGATTCGGAATTCTGATGAACTATATCTGTTCCAATTGAATGTCAGTAGATAGTAGACATAGATAGGGACATTGAAGCCTTTTTGATTGACTCATAATGAATAGTTTCGACACAACAAAATCCTAAATATAAAAAATCTCGATTTGAACACCCTACATCTCTGTTATGCATTCCTTCTAGACCTCCAAGTGTGATGCATTGATGAAATGAGCTCTTGAGGAAAAATCAAGAGATGCAGTGAAATGCAGGGTATTCCATATATTTGAAATAACAAAGTTGTTGCTACTTTTCGATAGAAGCGGCAACGCCGCAGTGCTGAAAATATTTTAGAACGATGTCCCCTCGAAAATGTAGTTGACGTGTCCCAGTAATTTTCTTATAATCCAGTTCTGGCGACATACATAGCCTCCGTTTCGTTTTCAAATGGCCACCCTCTATATAAAATACTCCTGTCACGGTGTTTGTTGCCAAACTCATCGGAAACGGCTTGACCGATTCTTGAGAATTGTTTTGTGCATATTTGGTAGGTCGTTAGCTATTTTTTAAATAGAAAATTCAAGATGACAGACCCAATATGTCGGACGAGTTCTGAATTATGATCCGATTCTATTCAAAATTGGTATCTAGGATTTTCGGGGTCAGAGATTATCATTCTTATTCTGAAATTTGGAGATCGAATATGGCAGACGAGTTTTGTAATTTTGATTCGATTCTATTCAAAACTGGTAGGTATCTGAAGGGATTTCGAAGTCGGACATTATATTTTGGCAAAATTCTGAAATTTAAGATTGCGGATCTAATATAGCCGACAAGTTTTGTAATTATGATACGACATTCTCTTCAAAATTGGTATCTAGGATTTTCGGGGTCAGAGATTATGATTCTTATTCTGAAATTTGGAGATTCGAGATGGCGGATCGAATATGGCAGACGAATTTGTAATTCTGATTCGATTCTATACAAAATTGGTAGGTATCTGAAGGGTTTTCGAAGTCGGACATTATAATTCTTTTGGCTAAATTCTGAAATTTAAGATAGCGGATCTAATATAGCCGACAAGTTTTGTAATTATGATCCGACATTCTCTTCAAAATTGGTATCAGAGGGTTTCCGGGTTCGGAGATTATGATTTCTTCGTCAAAATTTGGAAATTCAAGATGGCAGACCCAATATCTCGGACGAATTTTGTAATTATGATGCGATTCTATTAAAAATTTGTATTTGGCAATGCTATCTGGGATAACCCTGCACTGATGAGGGCCAACACCTCGAAACCGATCTGCAGGTTGTCACGCGTTCCTGAAGCAATTAGGCGCAGCTCGGCGTTCAGGAAGGAAACATTTGCGATTTTATTCGTCTATACGGATTATTGCATAGATTTCTGGAGGATGTAATCCTATCTTCTGCGTGGCATATAGCCAGGAAAGTAGTTGGTTTTTCTCTCGTTATCTACCATTTTCGTTCATTTTATGAACTATTGTGGTATTTTGAGTATTTGGCATTTTGTCTGGTTCAAACTAAAAAGAAGTAGAAATTGACATAATAAAACAATAAAACTGCGATGTAAAATATTCAAGTGAATGAATTATTTCTGGAAATAATGTATATAGCAAAACAACGTTTGCCGGGTCAGCTGATTATAGTATAGATATTGTTCCATTGATAAAAATAAGGATTTACCAATGCGGCTTTCACGGATGTTTTTTCCTTTCTTCCGGCACCCAGGGTAAGATTTCCTGCACGCGAATGCTCATGCGTCCATAATGGATCACGTGATTCATCGTGAATAATGAGACAATAAAGTTTTGAAAGGTTTCGTGAACTGTATAGGCGCTCGTATTGCTACGGCATCATATAATTTTTAGAACATCTGGAGAATTGTAGGTAATCTTTTAGTTAATTATGAAAATAATCAAATGAATGTGAAAGTATAATAATCTCATGTAACAAGATCCCTGAGAATATAAGTTGTAGGTATGTTTCTGCATTATCAACAATCATCATCATTATCATCATCCTATTCATATGGTGGCAACATAAGAATGACATGAAATTTTTCCTGGTAGTTATAAGAAGTCTAATTTGTAGATTCCATTATTCATGGTTCTTTAGCTTTTCTCATATTTATCTTGCGATGAATTCGGAAATTCGGAATTCGACCGACAACGCTTGACAGGTGATAGCCCTCGTGATTTCATTATTTCCGTGTTCAGTTTTCCAGATACAGGGTGTCGAAGTTGAGGAATGAAAAAGTCATTCTGGAAAAAATAAAGTTGATGATGTTGGCTGGGAGACGAAACGTCAGTTAGCAAATCTGAAAGCACCATCATGTAGTGAAACAAAACACATTGCAAACATGCAGTTCATTTCGAAATCCTACAATAAATGGAGCCAGAAAAAAATAAAATAGATTTTCCGATATTTCCTTTTCTCTGGATATCTCCGGACAAACTTTCTAAACGGCATATTGTTAGTTATTGGCCATCTTCGTATCTCTTCCGAATCTCCCGATGGTGAGGATCGAATTTTAAACACACCTGTTTTCGAATTGATCACAAGACATATTGAAATAACTTACATGTTGGAACTGGTGGACAAGGTGGGTCAGCACAAGCTAGTTCTTCCAGATGGCATTCCAGGGCATTGGGACAGTTGATGCCATCACATGGGTCTCTGCATCTACACAACGGACACCCTTCATCGGTCAGGGCGAAACCATGTGGGCAGAACATTCGGCAGGTGTGGTCTGCACATGGTTTAGGAGCTGAAAAAGGCAATGTAATTTTGAAATATGAAAAAAAAATCAGTTTCAAAAAATCAATATCAGAACAATATAGGCTAGGTAGCCACGTGGTAGAAAAGTTTGTATTCTACAGGGTGTCTGTAAAAGGTCTTTACAAAAACATACCACATATTCCTTAGACCGAAATAAGTCGATTAAAGTAAAATTACCTCAGTACAAAGTTGCATCGTTTGGGCTCCAGAGGGCCTTGAAGTTACAATTTTTAAATCGTTTTTCCCATATAAATTTAAAACGGCATATGCGATTTTGCTGAAATTTGGTATATTGATAGAGTTTTATGTGGCAAAAAAATGGTGTTGAATTTTTGTCCGATATTAATCCATAGGCGTAGAACTTGATTTCTTTAATGATTGCACCTTTAACAATTCTACGCCAATGGAATAAAAGGAGTTTGAGTATGAAATTTAGATTGCGCAACTCATTTACTTTGAAAAAGGTACTCCTGATAAGACTCGATTACTCTCATTGTTTTCGCTAAATTTCTGTTTTAATATTTTAGAGTGTAATAGGTTTCACCAAAATATTTATTTACAACATAATCAAAATAAATAGAGATTTTACATAAATTGTTCAAAATGTTCACCAGTTTCACGCATACAAAGATTTATACGTCGAAGAAAATAAATAATAATACATAGGCGTAGAACTTGATTTTTTAATAATTATTGCACCTTTTAAAATTCTACGTCAATGGCAGAAAAGGAGTTTGAGTATGAAATTTGGATTGGGTACTCATTCACTACAAAGAAGTACCCTTGATTAGACTCGATTTACTCTAATGGTTTTGACAAAGAATTATTGTTTATGTTCTAAAATTACTAAAATGCAAATTTCGTCAAAACCATGAGAGCAATCGAGTCTTATCAAGAGTACCTTTTTCAAAGTAAATGAGTTGCGCAATCTAAATTTCATACTCAAACTGCTTTTCTCCCATTGGCGTAGAATTTTTAAAGGTCCAATCATTCAAAAAATCAAGTTCTACGCCTATGTACTATTATCGGACAAAATTTTAACACCATTTTTTGTCCAACATGAAATTCTATCAATATACCAAATTTCAGCAAAATCGCATATGCCGTTTTAAATTTATATGGAAAAAACGATTTAAAAATTGTAACTTCAAGGCCCTCTGGAGCCCAAACGATGCAACTTTGTGATGAAGTAATTTTACTTAAATCGACTTATTTTGGTCTGAGGAATATGTGGTATGTTTTAAGAAAGACCTTTTACAGACACCCTGTATAATCACGATGGCCTAACCTGACCATACTTTAGAAGATAAGGCACCCGTCATTTATTGCTCGCACAAGTCTCTTGAAGACTTTTGAGGGTTGCTCATAAAAATTTTAGAACAACAACAATGACACTTCGACCAATCCACCGGTTTGATGACGCACGATCTCAGTATCTCTCGCAAAGGAAAACAAGAAATAAACATCACAACGTTTGGTGAACAACAACAAAATTTTTATGTAACCAATGAGAAATTGCCATCTTTCAATTCATATCCACCCAGGAAAGAAGATGACAAAATTATATTCCAGCTGTATTCGTAGTTTACATGTCGATGTCCCTTCAAATTATTGTCCGTTACAAACAAGTACAATACAGAAGCATACGTAATTGCAAAATTGTTTTATTTTTTGATATCATGATATTAAAATCATTTCCTTCCATTATGTTGGTTACAGTTATAGTGAATACGTCAATGGTCAATGTTCTAATCAATTTGAAAATGGACTGGGCATAATATATCGTCAAATGAAAAATACTTTTACTAATAAAGGTAGAATTCATGCGTTTATTATATTATGAAAAATGTATTGTTCATTTAAAATGGCCTGATTACTATAATTGAGTCATTTCTCACGCTGGTTTATTTGTATTTTATTGAATTCGGTGTCCTGGTTACTGCTGAACAATTTGAAGAAAACACGATTTCATGCATGTATTTGCAAACGCAGAGATGAGTTTATAATTTTATGAAGACAGAAATGTTAGGAACTTAAAGTTTCACCAATCAACAAGAATATAAATCATTCCAATGACTTCTATAAAATGATTTCAACTTCAAAAAAGTTGAGCAGCAAACGAAGATAAATAAGTGTTCCATGTTATTTTTATCACTCAAATCATTAGATGTTAATGTTTCTTTCGTGGTAGTTTACAGCAATTTCAACTTCATATAATAGTGATTATCTTCGCTTTTGCAAGAAAACGTAATTTGATCGAATGGTTGAGTATTAGTCTATCTGATGATTGAACGAAATGAAAATAATGCAGCGTGAGAAATAACTCAATAATAGTAATTAGACAATTCTTTCAATTAACAACCAAGCTACGCAACAAATGGACTAACTGTGAGTCGCGAAGTTTTTTGCCCCACTTTGACATCCTATGATTCGAAAATTAAATGGTACCTAAATCAAGAATTACCTACTTTTGCAGATTTGGAAAGCCCTATCCTTTGGCTATAAAAGCCTATAGTTGAACTAATTATTTAATGAACAGTAAGAATATATCTGAATGGAAATGATAGTCAATGATTCTGTATTCATATTCAATAATTAAATTGCAATAACACCACCAGTTGAGAATTGATTATTAACAACTGATTTTGAAGGATTCATCAATCGATAATGCTCTTTGAAAATTCGAAGAATCTTATTTTTCATTCTCATAATCCCAATGTAGTCCATGATATACAGGGTGTTTCTTACTAAATGGAGATATTTCAACTATAGAATCCTGAGCGCAATATATGGAGATTTAATCCAAATCACTTAATTAAAATGTGTCCCCTATCTGAGTTACAGAGAGTGTTCTATTTGAGAATTTGAAAATTGAAACTAATTGACGCATTATTGTCATATTTGACGGGAAGTGTAGATAAAAATATAATATACTAAATTATGTGAAATGTACATTTCTTGCTACTACCAGATGCGGACGACAAGGGCAAGTGACTGGTTGATCCTTCCCAAATTCAACGCCATTGGCGAAATTACTATTTCTTCACAATTTTTCAATAATTCGATATTTTCTACTGTTTCTTCATAGCATCCAATATGAAAACGACCTCGAAAAGGGCATTCAAATGATTCATTCAACTTTGTATAGTTTCAATCAATCTAACATCACTCCCACTAAGGTTGATAAATAATTTCTTATGATATTGTGTAGCCAATATTTTCTATGAATAGTCTTGAACTAGTTTTTTTTTATTCTATGATTGTGAGGGAAAGGAAAAGTAGTCTTCGAGACCTTCTTTTTTCAAACATATACATTGTAGTTTATGTCACTATTACAGGATGAACAAAAACTTGTTTGATCAAAGGATTTAATTATCATCATAGCATATCTATAACCAAGGTGCATACCTACATAGTTTTTACTTATGGAAACAATTATTGACAATCAGTTTAATTAATTCACGATAAAGTCAGGGCCACTTATCACAGAAAGTTGCTTGTTTCGATGCTCCAAACGTGTCGAAAAGGAATTGGTCAAATTACTTTTTTCCCATATTTTGACCACACTGATTCCAAAAATGCCTATTGCCAAAGCGGAATAGAGCAATGTCTGCTGACGTCACAACATGGCGCACTCGTCGTTTTCATCAGCTGTGTGTGAATTTTAATTTTATTATTTCTGACCCATTGGTGATTTTGTTGAACTTGTAGATATTATACAAAAAGAATGTATACATTTTCTTCCAAAATGAGTATCTATTGAGAGATATTACGAGGTATATTAGATATATTAGAGCTGAAGTCAAGTAAATCCATTAATTTAAAATTGACAAATAAACCGATTTGAACTCTTCTTTGGACTCATTCACTTCTCTCACAGGATTCATGATGAATGAATCAACAAACTTGTCAATGAATAAATGCTCCAGGTATTGTATTTTAGTGGTAAAAATGTGCAAGACACTTACATGTACCCTCATGGAAAATGTGTATGCTTGTCCCCTCATCAGCTGTTCAATGGCAAACAATTTTACGTCATTTGACGTCACTGACAATGCTCTATTCCAATCGGTAGTTTCATCCGGAAATCTTATATATTCTAATCTCTTTGTACTAGAAATATGATTCAAATGTACTTCTGTAATCTGACCAAATACAAGCCCGAGACAACTTCTGTCACCATAAGTAATATCACGTTGTTCTAAATATTCGAGATAATTCTGTCGCTTCCTTGTTCACGAAAGTGTGTTGTCGGGAAACACCATATCACCACGAGTACGGCAACACAATTGAGTTAATATTGAGATACATAATTATGAGAAGATATTCAGAACAGAGTGGTATTTTCCTAGACTATTTCACGTTCACGAAGCATGGAAATCATTTATTATAAATGACCGAATCATTCTGACAACTACAGTTATAATCATTTCATGCCAAACTGACAGACTCTGCTTCATCTGCTTCATCTCTGTTACATCGTTGAAAACACCAACGCTGATAGACCAATCAGAATTGAAAGACAGCTAGTGTTTTCGTGATGACACAAATTGTCTCTGGCTTTTGATTGATCAGATTGTGTGGTGAGTGAAATAGTAGCGAAAACTCTATCCGTCTATTTTGATAATTGGTCTATATCTGCGTTGGTGTTTTCAACAATGTAACCATGATCCTGATGGGCTCGTGGTGCTGCTCGTCAACACAACAACAACGAAATGATCTTGAATAATCAGAATACCGTGATATTATTCTTATGTAGAAGTCCATACTTTTCTCTAATTGGAGTGTAATGATGAAAGAGTAAAAAAAGGAAGAGGATGATCATCGGGTATCTTCCATCTTCTCAGTGAGACTTGACTTATTGAGAACAATCATAATCAGAAATTGGCTTTCCAAAAAAGCGGCCAATATGGTAACATAAAATCGTGAAGCCCTTATGTGATAAAAACATGGTTTTAACATCCAGATATCAGTTTTTCAAAAGAAGGA